GTCCTTAGTTGTGACGTACCTGGAAAGGATGTCAGCGAATATATTATCAGAACCTTTAATATGTTCAAAATTTATAATTTTGCCAGAATTCATATAATTTTTGAATAAAAGCCATCTTTTGTGAGACTTTTTGTCTTTATGAATATGGTTTTTACCATAAGAAACAATTGCTTCACAATCGGTTCTAATGGTTATTTCTGACTTATCTATCAGAAATAGTTTAAAAACATCTAGAGCATGTATGATAGCATTGACTTCATAGTCAGTGCTGGTTTAGTAAACCTGTGGTTTTGCAGTATATTTCCCAGAGATATATCTGCATATTTGTTCTTCTATCTTAGAAGAATATTTGTTTTTCTTGCGCTTTAGGATGGCTCCCCATCCTAATTTGCTTCCATCACACTCAATTATCAAATAATCAGAGTCTAATGGTAATTGTAAAATTGGTAATTGGTTTACCATTTGTTTTATCTTCTGAACCAATCTTATGTCTTTAGGATTAAATTTTCTTTCTCCTGTAATAAAAGTCTTGTTGTATAAAGGAAATGTGTATTTTCCCAAATTTGGAATAAAAATTCGGGCATAATTTAAGAGTCCTAAAAAGGATCTTAATGTTTTAATATCTTCCATTTTATCAGGAAAATCTTGGATTTTTTTAGAAATATGGGGTTGGAGTTTTATGGTTCCATTCCTTATTTCTGTTCCTAGGAATTCTATAAATCTTTTACAGATTTCCATTTTGTTTTTAGACACTATTAAGCCATAGTGTTCTAATTTATATAATACTTGTTTTAAATGAAGAAAATGTTCTTCTATAGTTTTGGAAAAAACAAGTATGTCATCTATATAGACGCAAGTAAAGGATTTAAAGTCCTTAAAAATGTTGTCCATTTTTCTTTGAAAAATGGCAGGTGCATTTTTAAGATCGAAAGACATCACATGCCATTCATATAATCCTTCTGAACAGGAGAAAACTGTCCATTTTACAGAGTCTGGATCCATTTTTATCTGATGGAAACCACTCTTTAAGTCAAATTTTGAAAACCATCTTGCATTTTGTATGCGGTTTATCAAAATATCTTTAGATGGATATACTATTCCATCTTCGACTGTGTTATCATTAAGTCTTTTATAATTGTAAACCATCCTAGATTTACCTCTTTTTTGCTCTGAAGCTTTGTTTACAATGAAAGCAAGACTCCTATGAGGACTCTCACTTGGAGTTATTACTTTCAATTTCAAGAGATTGTCAATATGCAATCGACAAGTGGCGGATCTTGACCATTGATCTTGGGGGCCAAATAATATATTATTAATAAATAATAAAAAGAAAAAAGAATATGAAAGGTTGAAAAGATAAAATTGTAGATATATACTTAAATATATTAAATGATAATTAAGTTTGAGGGAAACAAAATCATAAATTATATGAGAGTTACAAAATTGAGGAGAGGCTGAGAGGATAAAATTGTAAATATACAAGTAAATATATTAAATGCTCATTATGTTTGGGGGGGCCAAAATCATAAATTACATGGGAGTTATAAAACTTTGGGGGGGCCACGGCCCCCTTCAGCTCCCAAGAAGATCCGCCACTGGTAATCGACATTCTTCTTGTTCCCTGTATGTCTTTTGTTTTTATAATCAAATCAGGATTGATTATATTAAGTTTACACATAATAGGGTCACAATCCCAAAACTTAGTAGGGTCTTCTCCTATTATGCTTGTTTTGTTTAACCTATCTAGTATCTATTGGATGTTGTCAAACGTGATTGTTTTTGATATCTTTATGGAAGAAAAAGATTTCATAATATCATTTGTGTAGTAATAATCCAAGTTTTCTAAATCTTGTTCCATATAATCACATATGTCAGAAGATTTAGGATTATCACAAGAACATCCATCCATAGGTTGTCCTATGTATTTTTGGTTGTCACCACTAATTATGGGAGACATTTGTATTCTATCACTAATTATAACATAATCTTTGTTTATAGTGATAATTCGATCTTAGCCTAGGATAAAATGTAAACCAATAATCATATTTTGTTTTGAGGGGACCAAATTTTCCACTCGCATAGATTTGAGGTGTATTTTCTGACCAAACAGGTCACAATTTGTGCTAAATTGAAGAGAGATATTTCTTATCCCTTCATCATTTATCATTATTTGACCAGACATCGTTCTGGTTTTTTGTACATGTTTACTTTTGATAATCATATATGTAGGTACTTTTGTTCTGCATATAACTGTTTCAGAACATCCTGTATCTAAGAGAGCTTGAACTATAACCTCTTTGGCAGGATATTTGTCTTTCTAAGGAAAATTTAATTTTACTAATACCTTTATAGGTAATTAGTTGTTTTGTATTACAAACTAATGGGATACGTTTCGTAGTTCCCATCATATTGTTTTGTGTAAAAGTAGATACTAAATCCTTTTGAGCATCTTTTCCTTTTACAATTTTTTCTAAGTGAAGAATCTTTTCTTCAAGTATGTTTAATCGGGTTTCTAAGACTGAAGTCCTAGTGTCGATTAAATTTTTGTCTTTTGTACTTTCTTCTTTTCCCAAGAAAGTAGGTATATCCTGTATTCCTTGTTTAGTTTTTAAACAGTCTATACAGAAATTTTTGTAACAAAAGGGACAATGAGCCCTTTGAGAGATGTGAAAATATCTTTCACAATGTAGACAAGGAATGGATCCTGGTCCTGAGAAAAATTGAATGTCATGACAACATGAATTTTTCTCTGTTGTGTTCATTAAACCATTATCCAAATAGTCTAATGTTTCTCCTAAGTTTAGAAGAAGTTTAGGGTTTTGTAGACTCAGCTCTGCACAAGGCTTATTGTCTAATGCAAGGTTTTGGTTGTTATCAGAACCAATATTTTATAGTGATTTTATATAATCGTCATCAGATTCTAACTGATAGTTATGAGATTGAAAATCATCTGATTCAACACTCATGTTTTCAGACCCTAGGGTTTCTAAGGGTTCTGAGACTTCAGATAAATTATCCAATATATCATCTTCATCTGGATAAAATTTATCTAAAAATTCATTTATAATGTTATCAAAAGATACATTACCTATTGTATCTTTTTCACATCCTACCATAGGACTGTTTTCGTTTTTAGGGATAGTAAAATTACTATACCTATTATCTACTGACATGTCTTGTTCTAGGTCTAGGTTTGATAGGGTTTTTGAGAACCAGTCCTGTAGTCCTCTGTGTTATACTAACAAGGTATCTAAAGTTTGTTGGTAGTCTCTATCTGCAGCTGGTTACCTAAATAACCCCAAAATTTTTTTCTACATGACTTAAAGTATCCCATATACTCTATATTGCCACATAGTTTTATCAAACTTTTTAGTTTTCTAGAAATCTCTTCTAGAAAAGTATTTATACTGTCTAGTATAGACTTTTTGTATCCCACCAGAGGGAAATTTATAATTTGTTCAACAGCTGTCAGAGCTGTTTTGTAATCTTTATCTAAAATATTTTGTTCAACAGCTATCAAAGCTGTTTTATAGTCTTTTCCTAAAAAAGGCTGTGTAGTGCCTAAAAAATGCTGTGTGGTGAAAGGCTGTGAACCTTTCATTAATTTTTTTTTTAAAACAAAAATAAATTGTAAAAAAAAGGCGGAAAATCAGAGAGCAGGAAAGTAAGGCAGTAGATAAGTGGAGAGGGATACGAGATCCACTGAATACACCGTAAAACAATATTTATAAAAGAATATAGATAATCATAAGACTTAAAAGAAAATCTTTTTGTTGATTTTATTAATTTTTATTTTTATAAGTGATAAAAAGAAAAATACACTAACATGCAAGAAAGAGTATTTTTTTTAAAAAAATTGAAAATACTTTTCTTTATAAAGACTCGCCGCAATATGCAACATATTCCTCAACCCACAAAGGTAGCGTCGCGGGATTTAAGGTCTTCGTGACACTCCCTGGCCTTAACCTGCCCTACTACTGGCTGGGTATCCTAGCGAATACAAACCAGTTCAATTGCAAAGAATCATATTAAGGTAACCAAGGAAAACCTTGCTCTGATACCAGGAGAGAAGAGGGGGTGAAATCAAAACAGAAAGCAGGGGTTGGAACCGTCAGATAACTGCTCAAATACCCCAAAATAAAAGGTACAGAGAAAGCAGAAAACCCAGTATGGGAAAAACACTACTCAGATACCAAGAGGAGACAAAACAAGAAAACTGAGGGTATGAGCCCCAGAAAACTACTCTAAAACCAAAGAGGGGAATGGAAATGAGGAAAGTAAAGTCACAGAAAAATAAATAAATAAAAACATGTTATAACTCTTTATATCTTCTGTAGGTCAATGTGACTACTTAGCTCACAGAGAACCCGAAACGGGGCTAGCTAAAATGAAGATTGTCCGAGATAAAGTTGGTTATAGCAAGTAAAGTGTTCACCATAAGATTATGAGATGACTGAATCTGACATAGCTGGTTAGACATCTCCTCATAAGCTTACACATGAATGAAATTAAATGCAGAAAAGTAAAGACGGGAAAAATAAACACACAAGTCCATGATAAGATTATGAGATGACTGAATCTGGCATAGCCGGTTAGACATCTCCTCATAAGCTTATATGAACACAAAATAAAGCTGTACAAAAATATTTAAGCCTTTAAATGATTAACACATCTTTTAATAAATAAAGCTTAAGGCATCCGAGGACACCCTTATAAGAAAACTACTCCATGAAAGGGGAGTAAAGAAAACTTACTCGGGGGAGGGGAAGGAGAATGAGAGGGGAGATGCTGAATATACTTCTCTTATTGATAGTAGAATTTACATAATAGATAAGAAGTAGAGAGAATGAGAAGAGGAGAGGAGAAATAATCTCTTGAGAGAATGCTTCTTGGCCAACATAAAGAATCTTATGAAGCATTATATAGAAAAATAACAAGAAAAAACAAAATAAAAATGAATACATTTTTTTTTAATAATGCCACTTCACATAGACACGAACATGCCACCACATATATCAGTGTCCTTAAACAGTTAAGAAGTAAATAAAAATAAATTAAAAAACACTATCTGTAACAAATTTATTATAAAATATATAAAATTAAGTTTAATTAATCAAGACAACGCATAGTCAAAATTATAATAAATTAAACGTTTTTTAATGATTTATTATTTATTTTAATTAGTGTAATAACGCACTTGATAACAAGAAAATTGCGTAAGAGGGTGATCAGGTGGTGGTTGAAGAGAGGAGTGGCGAATCAGAAACTCAACAACACACAGAGAAAGAAGCGGTTGAATTATATTTCTCCAGCGATTCGTTTCAGGCGAAAGTGCAGAATCGAAGCGACGTCGTTTGTTGGTTCGCTCGTTTGGGCGATGAAAGTAGCTCGATAAGCGTTGGATCTCTGAACACTTCGGGATTCGAATCTTGAGCAAGGCTTTGTTCGTTCCCGCAATGGATTCCTGGCTCAAAGCCGCTGAAGGTAACGGATCTCATTCGTATGTTAAATTACGATTCTCCGTTTGGTTTCTGGTTCCGTCAATTTTCTAGAGCTCAGAGTACGTGTTGTTTTCAATATTGATCGATGAACCTTCAATAGATGGTTAAATGCTCGTGTGTGAAATTATGGTTTATGGGATTTCTTTCGATGTTATTTTGGTAATGAACTGTGATGTTTATGTATTGAAAATTGGGGAATGCACTGGTGAGTGTTAACGGTTTCATCAATGTAGTATAATACGTCCACATGCTCTCTTATTGGTGATTTGTCACTTGGAATTTAATAACAGAGGACAGCATTGTTTGTGATTAGAAGTGTTGCTTCATTTTTATTGTTTTGGAGGGGAGAGATGCCGGTGCGAGGGATTCATTTCACCTGATGCATTTTCATTTCAGGATGTAATCGATATGGATGCAATTCTTTTCATGTTGAGCTTAATTCTGACACGGATCTCTTTTTTGGCCTTGGTTGATCAGGTTTATTTGAAGTTGTAGATCGACGGGCCAAGGCTGTTGCCACTGACTTAACAGAGGAGCAGTCGGATTTTAAGTCTCCAGGTTTATAATTAGTTCTTTCGGTTCACTGTGTAATTAGTCTTAGCCATCAATTTGTGCTGAATACTTATTTTTTCTCTCGAATTCGGCTTGCCTTATTGCCGAAAAGCTGTGCTGTTATGTAGACAATTATCAATATCATCTTGGTTTAAAACATTTAATGCTTTGGTTCAACTTATTTTGAAGAAATAATTGTTGCTTATTTTAAGCTTCCTTAACAGAGCTGTTGCATAATAGGGTAGGGAGTTATTTCTCCAAAATTAATCTAACCTTGTGTGTGGAAGAGGGATTTCACAATTTTTAGAAAATTCAAATACATTAAATTTAAACTGCTTTCATTTTAAATTATTAAATTTTTTAAATGTTTTGTTTGGGTTAGTGGTATTGGCATCACATTCTTATAAACTGGATGCTTAAAACTACACAATGGACCTTTTTATAACATTTTTATCTCTAGATGTTAGATATCCCACCTTGTAAACGGACTAATATATAAGCCGAACAAAAATGCATTGGGCATTGAACCTTTTTCGATACAAGGCTATAAGAACTTTTAAAACGCTTTTCTATTGGAAAAAGTTCTACATTTCCCATAAAAACTCTCGTAACTCTTCTAGCTTGTACCCAACCAGGTCTATTATGGCTTTCAGATGTATGTGTTTCTATTAAGTATTCTCCTATATCAGAGGTGCTTACAGTTGTTTTGTTGTTACCTTTTCAAAAATTAGCATCAAATGGGCAAGGATCTCAAGGCAAGAGGACAAAATCAAAACCAAAGGTATTATTCAATGCCCAATGCATTTTGATTTTGATTTTGATTTTGTTACCTATCCACCATCCGTATATAATATTCATGTAATATTCACATCAAACTTGTCTTCAATTTTTGCAGGCTCAAACAGGATTATCCAATTCATCTACTATAATTAGTGATACGGCCAAGGAAAAAAGTGGATCTTCAGCAGTACCTGTGGTCATAACAACTTCTACAGACAAAGTTGATTCTGAAAATGATGGAAGGATTTCCACATCTACAAAGCAACCAAAGGATCCACAACCTAGTGATGCAACATCACCCTTGTTGGGCACTTCAACATCAAATATGCTAGGTGATGATGTAGCTAAACATGACACAGATGATGCCGAAGCATTAGTAAATGATGAAAATGTTGGAGTTGCCACTGTTGCTGCTAATGGTGATCCTATCCAAGAGAATGCTTCAGATATTAGTGAGATAGATTCTCTTCCAGCTCCCAAAGAAATTGAGAGCCTCAGTAGTGAACCCGCCAGTATTGGCCAGATTATCAAATCTGGAGATTTGGATGCCAATAAAAATATGGATCAAGAGAAATCTGAATCTGTGGCTGCTGACACGGCTCCTAATATTGACACCATACTCAAAGATTCTGATGTAAAAAAAGATGAGTCTGTTGTGGACAGAAAAAATGAAGAGGATCATAAAGCAGACATCTCCCCCAAAAAAGTACAGGATCAATTGGATGAGGTAATACTTATAATGGGCAAATTTATACATTCTTATTTGGACACATCATCAAAAAATTCTTCTGACTAATTTTTTTAGTTGGTACATAGGCTCAAGGATTGCTTAAAACAACAAAATCTACTGGTCAGTCTAAAGAGGCAAGGTTAGCTCGGGTAAGGGTGTTGCTTAAACCAACATTTCTGTTAGCTTAGCTTTCTTCATAAGATTAGTTCTGGAATCTTGAGAAGGATTTCTTCCTATTTGCTTATTATAGATGCCTGATTGATAATTTTCAAATGATGCTCAGGTCTGTGCTGGATTGTCTTCCCGCCTTCAAGAAATCAAATCTGAAAATGCACAGTTGGAGGAACTTCTCACTGCAGAGGTGAGGCACTATCACCGTTTCCTGTTTAAAAGGAATATGCAGTCTTATTAGATGCTTGAATAGAAATATGTTGACTACTGCATCTCTTATTTAATTCTAAATCTACAGAGAGAGCTGGGTAAATCATATGAGGCTAGCATAAAACAGCTACAGAAGGAGTTGTCTGAAAGTAAAAGGGAAGTGTCAAGAGTTGAAGCAAATATGGGCGAAGCCTTGGCAGCAAAAAATGCTGAAATTGAGGCACTTCTAAGTTCTTTGGATGCAGTTAAGAGGCAAGCTGCATTGTCCGAAGGAAATCTAGCTTCCATGCAGGTTTGTCATTGTTAATATTGAAGCGTGTCTAGGAATATTTACTTACTTCCATGCAACTGTGCTTTCCACCTGAACTATATTCTGTCCAATTAGCTTTTATCCTGGAGAATTATTTCTTTGATGAATAATGAACAGACTGGATTTGCTTTTTTGAATCTTAAGATGTAGTTTGTATACTTTTATAATTCTATTAACAGTTTTTGGACTATGAATGATAGGTTCTCTAGAGTAGCATTTTTACGCAATTTTTTCCTCTATCCAGAAAAAAATCTACTACTGTTTTCTTATATGCCTTCTTGCTGCCAATGTTATAGCTATGGGATGGTCATTGATTGCAGTGCGCATGTTTGTCTGTATCTCTGTTTAGCTGATATCTGGGAATCTTTTTACTTCAAGAATCAGGAAAAAAAATTGACTTCTTTTAAGACTTGTTGACCTGGGCAACAAAATGACATTCCTACTTCAGTTTCCTTCATTAACTTCTTTCTGTAGTTTATGATTAATCCTTTCACTATAGTGTGTAACTTCAATATATTCTTTCAGTAGAGTGTTATTTACAATTATGACTTGGGTAACACTATTCATATCTCTTACCAGGCTAGCATGGAATCAATGATGAGAAATCGAGAACTAACAGAAACAAGGATGATGCAGGTAAGTAGGTTCTTTTATGCAAGTATGGTTACTATAATTATACAATATATCCTATTTATACGATGACATTGTTTGACTATCGAAATTGCTGTTCTTGTAGGCTCTAAGAGAGGAGCTAGCATCTGCTGAACGAAGAGCAGAAGAGGAGCGTGCTGCACACAATGCTACCAAAATGGTCTGTAACTTGGATAATTTATTTCTCAAGTTTCTGTGTTTTACATTATATTTAAGGTATTCTGAGATTGGTTGAACAGGCTGCTATGGAAAGAGAAGTAGATTTGGAACACAGAGCAGTTGAGTCATCCACTGCACTTGCAAGGATACAGGTAATGTAAGCACTTACTGTGGTTTAACTTTTAGTGGGGTGCAAAACATATTAAAGCACTGTTTTATTTTAATGTTTTCCGTATGTTATTAGATCATATCGTGATTGAATTGACAACGTAATGGTAGATACATGTGTTGGGTGTCTAGTTGTCTATTAAGCTAGAAATTCTGTATATAAACTTTGTAAACAAGAACTTATACAGAAACCATGTAATCGGATTCTAACCATAGGGGGAAATTTATCCTAGAGATTTTTTTTTAATTAACACTCAATTATTTAGAATATCAGCATCCATGATTCGTGTGATTTTCAGGCAGCAACCACTATCCCTGTTACTTTTGGGATTATGATATCTTTGTGCTAGCCTGTTTACTTAGAGATCAGGTTGGCTCGAGTGTTTTGGGGGCCGGTCATCATATCACTTTGTTGCATCGCAGAGACAAAGAAGACAAAATTAAGGAGGATTAAGGCATCCTCCAAAGAATAAAAAGTAAAGTACTAAAATGTCAAAACTGCAGCAAAGCTGCTCTATCGTTATATAAGTCTGAAAAGTTTACTTCATTAACACAGCTGTTAGAAGTAGGGCTGTGCACAGTTTGGATTTTTGAAAAAACCGAATTGAACCACTTTGAAACCGGTTGGTTAACCCAAATGTTTTTAAAAAGTGTATTTTCCCCCTCAAAATCATGCATTGTTTTTTGGTTCGACTGGTTTACTTCAGTTTGGTTATCTATTTTATACTCGTATATGGTTTGGTTTTTTTCCAAAGAACCAATCAGAACCTTTTTATAAAGTTGTTTGGTTTCTCTTTTTCTTAGAACGATTCATTTTTTATAATTCATTTGTTTAGTTTTGGACCAGTTCAGTTCTTTTGCATGTCCCTAATTAAAAGCACGACATGCATCCTAATAATTGTCCTGGTATGCATAAAAGTATGTGTAAATCTTCACTTGCTAGGGTGTTTGGGAATATGAAACAGCATAAAAGTATTTGTAAATCTTCACTTGGTAGGGTGTTTGGGAATATGAAAGAGTCTTGTATTTGAGATGATTATTAAATAATTTTCATTGACAAAAATGTTTAAATTGATTAAATTTTATAATCGAAGGTGGGTTCATCTCAGCTAGTTTAATTCTTCTATGCAAGTCTAACTACATTTCCTCAAGCTTTTTTGGTGATGTTTGGCATCATATGCCTTTTGGTCTTGCTATTTAAATTTTTATCAGAGATCTACTTTACCAAAAAATGATGATCAACAATAACAACAAATTCACAATTGTAAAGCATGTGTTAATAAGGCTGCATCAGTCCCCCCTGTCAAGCTATTTTGCTTCTAGAAATGTTATTGACATTAGGTTAAATGTATACATTAATTTGTTAATTGCTCCTCTTTTCAGAGAGTAGCAGATGAGAGGACAGCAAAAGCCACTGAACTTGAGCGGAAGGTGGCACTACTCGAGGTACATGAATAAACAGTTAACTTTTTTCTTAGAATGTGAAAACTGATTTTTGATTGTTATTCTGAATGAAAGATCTATAAATAAGTTTTTGGTAACATCTGTTATCAGGTTGAATGTGCATCTTTAAGTCAAGAACTACAAGATATGGAAGCCCGAGTGTGGCGGGAACAAAAAAAGTCTCCCGAAGAGGCTAATCAAGTAATTCAGGTATAGACACAGATTTTTGAGAGTAAAGTAGATCAATTAGAAACTTTATTAGGTTTCTTTATATTTCACATTTTCTACAATGTTTATCAACAAGTATAAGTGTATAGCATAATTGAAGAGTCAGTGTCCTTTTTGGTTGTTGCCCAAACCAATTCAAAGAACATTTGATTCTCTGTATAAATATAAATAGAGCACATATTTTCTATTTTTTTATGCGTGTTAAATGTCAGTTTTTGAAAGTAGACACTTCACCCTATTTGCTACTTTACACAACTGAATCACTTACTACTTTTATCTTTGAATTGCTAATTCTTTTGAAATAAAAAGTTAAACCTTTATGTCATTGTTTAGCAAAAAAAAGTTCAAGAGGGGGAAGGAGTGGGGTTTGTGAAAAAATTTCAATGGTCATAGTTGAACCTGGGTATGTCTGGTAGACCTCTAAAGTTGCCACAAACATCTCTAGACAACAATTAAGATAATAATATTAGTAATAGTTTTTTCATTTGGATGGAATTATAACAATGGAAGTTTGACATATTAAGATGCAAGCATGGCAAGAAGAATTGGACCGTGCTCGTCAAGGTCAGAGGGAAGCTGAAAACAAGCTATCTTCCTTGGAGGCAAGATTCTTTTATTATTTTGTTGTGAAGTTTATTTGAGATAATGACTTACTGTTTTGGAGGTCAAGTTGCACTTCTCATTATTGATATTTTTGGTTTCAATGTTTCAGGCTGAAATGCAAAAAATGAGAGTTGAGATGGCTGCCATGAAGAGGGATGCGGAGCATTACTCACGTCAGGTAATAATCATGGTGTTTCTTTAAAAACTTGTCTTGCATAAAATTTAAATATCCAAGTTTCATATAAAAATAAATAAAGCCTATTTGTTTCTTAAGTCGGCAGAAGTTTTCAAGTCATATTCTCATGGACTGCATCATTTTCAGTAGCATTTGGTAAAACTATTACCAACTGAGGGATGATTAGTTAATGGTTACTTATTAACCATATAAGTGATTAATTTGTAATTGCTCCTAAACTGAATATTTTTTACAGTTAAATCATTGCGGTAATTTTCTCTGTAATTTTTACCATACATGAAAATATATTTTGAACATCAGTTTTTATCACTTGATATACTAACTTTGACGGAAGTATACATTTGAATGGACTCAGTTCCAGATATAAAGGTGCATCCTTTTTAATTGGTAATATGAAATGTATGGTCGATTATTGGATGGTCCTGACTATTTAACCAAGAAAAAAAAATTGCATCAAGTTTCAAATGGGGTGTAATGATTTACTTGTTAAATAGGGGAGGCATGACTGCATAAGCATCCATGCATCTTCTGCCCAGACTGAATCACATGCCATATATTTAACATCAATCAGATATTATTACCTTGAGTGATGCTAGCAGTACTTGACACTCTTTTCCACGAGCACACTATATGCAAGAAAATTGAAGTTAACTTAGTACTCTTAACAGGTGTATGATTTGGTGTTACGATAACTTTGGAATACTGCTTATTCTAAATATTATTGTATTCTTGTAACAGGAGCATATGGAGCTAGAGAAACGCTACCGGGAACTGACTGACCTTTTGGTAATTTAAGTTATGATTAAATTTCATGCAAATACACGTGATATTCAATAATTTTGTGTTATCTTCATTTCAGTACTACAAACAAACACAATTAGAAACCATGGTCAGTGAAAAAGCTGCCGCAGAGTTTCAATTGGAGAAGGAAATTAAGCGTCTCCAGGAAGCACGGGTATATTGATTCGGCTCCTGTGACTGCTTGATTGGTAGTTTGACTTTAATGTGATTTTATGTCATTGTTATATTGAACAGGCTGAGGCTGAACGGAATAAAGTTTCTCGTCGGGCATCATCATCTTGGGAAGATGAGAGTGAAATAAAATCCCTTGAGTAAGTTTCCTCTTGCTATCTTAAAAGTACCTATCTCTCTATAATGAATTTGACTAAAATGACCATAAACTTCAACCTTAAAGGTTTAGGGATTTTTTTTTGTGTGTGCACGGGCGTCCGGTTAAAAGAAAGTAATTGTAAAGAAGCAGAAGTGACAGTTGCTTCTCAAAACAAGTTCTCTACTTTTTTTCTGTTTTTGGTTTTTGAGATAAGTTTACTCAAACATGTAAAAATTGCTAATAATTGATTATTTTATTAAATTATTTGTAAACAAACAATCCTTGTATACGCTGCCAGCAGCGATGGAAGTTCCCGAAACCCAATAATATGTACTGATCCTTTGTCCAATTCTATCTGTTTGCCCTCTCCATGTTAAATCATCTCCTGTATTTCCTATTCTATTCTGTTCATTACTTAATAAATGGTAAAGTTATAGCCATGATTTGCTTCATAATAACTTCTGAAATCACTTTATTACTCAGTTACAGTTATGCTTCGATGTACTATTCTCTGTCACCCCAAAAGGTTGTGGTGTCTGTTTTTATTTCCCATTGTAGAGTTTGGAAAGTTATCTTACAAAGTATAAATTGCAGGGCTCTTCCTATTCATCACCGTCATTTGGCTGGTGCAAGTATTCAGGTATACAGCCAATCAGCCATCATTTTTCATTTCTTGTGTCATTTTCATTCTCCTTTTTGACATTATATTTTATTTTGTCTGTGGCATGTCTCATGCAGTTGCAAAAAGCAGTGAAACTTTTAGATTCAGGGGCTGTCAGGGCAACAAGATTTCTCTGGCGATATCCTACAGCTCGAGTCATTTTATTTTTCTATTTGGTGAGATCAGTTCATTAAATGTTTAAAACGTCAAATTAGCTGAGAGATGAACTACCATTGAAGTATTTGAAATTTTACTCACCTTTAGAAATTGCAACAGGTGTTTGTACATCTCTTCTTGATGTATCTCTTGCATCGTCTTCAGGTAAATATCTGAGTGCATATAGAATATATGACAACTCCTGATACATCCAGCCATGTTAAAGCTATCTCCCTTCAGCTTTCCTCCGTAGAAACTTGTGGAATCTGATTTTTTTATCGTCTATGTAGGAACAAGCTGACACCATGGCTGCTAGAGAGGTTGCGGAATCTATGGGACTCCATAACAAGAATTTACGGTGACTAATAAAAAAGATTCCATCTAGTAGGGCCTATGTCAGGTGTTAATGTCTTCCTGACAAGATATTTTCAAGTCTACATTTCCAATGTCGGTGCTTATGGTTGACTTGATAATGGTTCAGCCAAGGACTGAAGTATTGCAAAGCAAAAGAGGAACTTACATACAGGCATCTTATGTGTCAAAGTTGATCTTTTAGAAACTGCTGCAGGATGGAGTTAGGAAATTAGAATTTGCTTTACCCAATGCTCATTGAATGGGTGGCAGTTTCTCGTTTTTGGGTAGACTGTCCTTAGAATTGAATTGGTTAATTATATTTTTATTCGTTTTTTCTTCTTTGAAAATGTATTTCGAGTGGAACGTTGTAGATACCAATATATAGTGATACCCCGTTTCTCAGTTCCAAGGGCAATTGCCAAATCTAAATAATACACTGCGCTTGAATGAAGAAAAAATAGTTACTAGATAACTTGTTAACCTTACGACATGTATTATTTTTCTCTGTATTTTTGGATATATATCATATTTGTAACACATAAATGTAACAAACCATATACATCATATTTGTAACATTATATCATAATCGCAAATATAACAAACTTTTGGACTTGATGTCTCCTATAATGATATACGTAATAGCCGTTCTTCTGTGTAATTCTTAAGGTTATGTTTAAATTCATAGAAAGAGATGCGATTACACGAAATTAATAAAGCATGAAATGCATCATAACATAATAGGCAAATAATTTTTTTCTCTCTCGTCGTCTCAAATCATCCTTCGATTGCTTTTCGTTTTCCCTAAAAGCCTGACAATTAACAGAACATGAAATGAAGTATTTATACACAAAAACATGTTTTATTAATGCAAGTCTGATGTTCTTCTCTATTTTGATGCATAGTTCACGCCATTGTCTCCCACTGTAACCAAAAGTTTTTCATAGACAAAATTACGTGTGTTGGTGTGGTAGGTTCTAGAGTTTACTCCAAATTAGACGAGACAATAAACTCCAAAACTGTATCTCTTTTGATATTGACATAACCAAGAAGTATATTGGATGAGCTAAAGTGCTGCCGTATTCTCAGCTAAGACTACCACATTAGTAAATTATTTCACCAAAGCTAAAAATATTATTTTGGATGAATAGCAGGAGACAACTCGGGTTTAATAAACAACCTGTTCAACCCCACTGATCATGTTTGATTGTTACTTAGCACTGTAAGGAAACACATGTTTGGCACCAAAAGTACAATGCATACTGATTTGATCCTTTTCATTATCCAAACTAACAAAATACTCAACTATCTTTTTCATTACTTTGTTTCTTCTTCATCCAATTCATACTCTTCATCATCATCATCTTCATCCTCATCATCAAGTTTACTGATTTGGGAAAATTTGCTTAGCTCTAATCTGCCTTCATCCTCTTCAAATTGAAGCCCAAATTTTGTGTTACGTTGCTTGACCAAAAGCCAACGCAATAACCGGTCTTCCTTGTTTAGGTAATGCAACTCTTTGTTGATTTCAGGAGTAGCCATCATGCTCATTTGCATCAGCAGGCCCTACATCCATTAAAAATGGCAACAAATTACACATTACAATTGCATAATTTCCGTTCAAACTCAAGGGCAGACTCTCAAACTAAACAAAGTTTGCTACAACTTAACTGGCTGCAATCAGAAATCACCAGTCAATAAACATTTCATAGTTCAAATTTCAATAGTATGTTCCAATTCAATTTTTTTAGTCATGTTAGGTGAAAAGGGTACGGACAACCATAAGCTTATAATCACTTTTTCTTTGACCCTGAATCAGCCAGCTCCATTCATTAGAATTTTATGGCACTGAAAAGGTTCTCAAAGACTGCATGTTTTCAATTGGAATGTTGTTAAAACCCCCTACTTACTAATGAATCTAGAAAATTAGACATTTGATTATTGATTATTAGTGTGGAAGCTGTCATCTGGATCCTGACAATGTGAAACATGCTTTTACACTTTGTTCTAAAGAAATTTCTAATTGGATTTGTTTCTCACCTCAAGGGATGTTCTCAGATTTTTTTCCAACAGAATTTTAATCAATGGGTGCTACATAATGTGCAATCAGACACTGTTGTGGGGGCAAGGAAATGGTCTGTGATGTTTGTAGTTATTTTGGACAATTTGTGGCAGAGTCGAAATGATTGGATTTTTAATCATTCAAGACTGTGTCTGTGACTGAAGCAAGTTCATGCAATTGTAAGTTTTCTGCATGAAGGGGTTTTTAATAAGCCTCTTGGACCAAATTCGGCCCAATCATATATTGGCTGGAGTCTGGAGTGCACCACAATTTGATATTTTCAAACTGAAATATGAAGGCTTGATCCAATTACAGACTAATAGAGCTACTGAAATTTGATGCTTTGATTAAATATGCTTATTCTTTATATAACCATTTGAAAGTTTTTGATATTCTTCCTTTGTTACTGTCTAATTACATTTTGGCTGATGTATCTGTCACTGTTTTCCCCCATGGATTTTAGTGCTTCTTTGGGTAATCTCCTTTCATTCAGCAATACACGCATCCTATAAATCAACTTCTCTAAAACATTTATGTTAAGATTTTATTCCTTTGTTACTGTCTAATTACATTTTGGCTGATGTATCTGTCACTGTTTTCCCCCATGGATTTTAGTGCTTCTTTGGGTAATCTCCTTTCATTCAGCAATACACGCATCCTATAAATCAACTTCTCTAAAACATTTATGTTAAGATTCCAACATAAAACCAATTGACAATATGTGGAGTAACATGTATTTAAACCATACCAAATATCATGAGATAGGTGATGTGAGACTTCCAACATGCCCCTTCCAACGAAGCCTGTCGGACTGGCATTTTTGACTCAACTAAAAGGCAACTTTTGGCCCATGACAATAACCGAATAGATGTTAGACTTTGACTCTGATACCATGTTAAGGTTCCAACATAAAACCAATTGGCAATATGTGAAGTAGCCTAACATGTATTTAAACCATACCAAATGACATGAGATAGGCGATGTGAAACTTCCAACAATCTCAAACCTAGAGTTTTGTCCGAGATTCCAACGATCAAATCCTTTAACATACCCACACCACTTTCTATATCAACCTATGTTACATTAATTTTGTGATGTTATATGCATAGTTCTGTTCCTGAATAATACAACCCTAATAAGAAAACTGTTTAAGCAATGAGATTTTGACATAAACAGAACAAGAACAATGAAGTATTCACCTAACAGGTGGTGGTGTAGCTACATATTACTGGTGCAATAGTCGCTCAGTTAACACAATGAGGTTACATGGCAGGTGTTCATGCATGTATAACCACGTACATACCAACTCAAAATTTAAATATATTATTAGCAATGAATTCATTAATCTGAACAGCAGTAAAATAAATTATGAATTCATTGAGTTCCATCATCTAAATAGTATAAGAATTCAGTGAGGGATCAGCTGAATTCCTGAAGTAATTTCTCTAGGCTCGAAACTACATTAGAACACAAACATGCAATACTTACATCAAAACAGATAATACAAAAAAGCATATTAAAAAACCTATAATGCATAAACTCAGGTACTGCATCACAAGGAATCAACCTTACCTGATAATATCTGCCATCTAGTTTTTTCACACCATAGCCCAAGTGAACAGTTCCGAGACTCTTAATATTAGTGACAACCCCATTTCTTCTGTACACATGTTTTCCCACCCTTGCAACTAAATCCATCACAGCTACATTCGTTATATGAGGCTTAAACAGAAACATACAATCGTAAGGAGGCATCTTGTTCCTCCTGCTCCGACGCAGCCAAGAAGGTTACTCAAACGTTGCTAACACTATCTTCAAAACATAATATAATAATGATCAAATCTCACTTTTTCAGAACAATAATATCACCAATGGGATAAGCTCCAATTTAATCATGAATCAGACGGTAAGGTGACTAACACAAATTCACGATCCTTTGAAACACTAAACAATGCATGAAGCCATGAACGCAAAATTCGTACCTTCACCGTTCGTTACCGAAGCTCCACTTCGACGAAGACGATGAAGAGAATTGTGTTGCTTAACTAGGGTAATGGTACTAAGCCACAAAACGACCTCGTTTTTTGTATTTACTTGTTTTTCATAAACTTGATGGGCCAAAAGCCCAACCAAGCAAACCAAAAGGAAGAACTTTCGTCGTGCACTCTCATGTATCCCCTCATGTGGGAAGACAATAATACCCTCACCAAAATGATGTCTCCAAAATTAGTTTGAAAACTTTCCAAATTCTTTAATTTGAAATACTCTAAAATAATTTCTATAATCTATAATTTATAGAAGTATTATTATTTTTTCCAATAAGTATAAGATGCTGAAATAATTTTTTTGGAGAACAATGATTCATTAAAATTTAATTAGGTTTTGTTTTAATAAAATATCTTTTATTATGTTTTTAAAGGTGAAGTTTTTACTATGTTAAATATGTGTTATTGTTATTTTATTTTATATATAAAAAGTAAGGCAGATTAGGAATATTTTAGAGTATTTCAAATTAAATGTTACTCAGTATATTTCTCTCTTTGCTAATTAATTTCTCCTCTAAACTCTTGAACATCATCGATTAGTTCAATATTTAAATTATTTTATTTTTGGTAAAGTTTTTACCTTTTTTTTTTAATTTTTTATATTTAATTTTGTTAGCATTTCTTTAACAGTATGTTTGTTTCCACTAGTAGATTGTTCATGAAGATAGAAAGATGAGGATGACAAACGTTTGGTTGAACAGAAACACGACGAAATGAGAGCGAGGAAAAGCGGAAGATGGGAGAAAGAGGATCTTCGCTAATCCACGAAGAAAAGCGACGAAAGCCTCCTGGACAAATTGAAATGTCCAACTTACCCTCACTCTGGAAGATTCACTGGTGCAAGCATGCAGAGAGATTATTGGAATATAATTTATGCAGAGAGATTCACTGGAAGAACTGGAATATAATTTATGCAGACAGATAAATGTAGACTTTAGATAGTGGTTCCACGTTAACCGCTATCAGATGTTCACTTTTAAGAGCGGTTAACATCTAAACCAGTCTTAAATGTGAACATATGATAGCGGTTAACCTGGAACCGCTATCATAGGTGAACATATGATAGCGGTTCCAGGTTAACCGCTATCTAAAGTCTCGAGTATTTAAAAATCTGATCGATCATTTTGACAAAGTAATCGATCAGATTTTCAAATACTCGAGACTTTAGATAGCGGTTAACCTGGAACCGCTATCATATGTTCACCTATGATATCAGGTTAACCGCTATCTTAAGTCGATCATTTTGAAACTCTAATCAATCATTTTGACAAAGTAATCAATCAGATTTTCAAATACTCGAGACTTTAGATAGTGGTTAACATGGAACCGCTATCGAGAGGTGAACATATGATAGCGGTTCCAGGTTAACCGCTATCTTAAGTCGATCATTTGAAAAATTATATCTTCTAAAATATAATTTACTTTCATTTCATAATTATTTGTTATTATCAATCAATATTAATTATTATTTTATATTTTATAATTATTTAATTATTAATCAAATAATTTATTTAATATGTCAAAATTATTTTTTTATGGATATGCAATGTACATAATTTTGTAATTGTTTATTTATATAATTTTTAATAACTATTTAAAAAAAGTTAATTTTTTAAATTTGTTTCCAATTACAAACACTTTTAAATTTGTTTTTTCTTTTCAATATATAATCAATGTTAAAATATGGATAATTAATTAAAAAATTATATTTATAATCATTTGAACCTTATTTTATACAAAGGGTAAAATGCTAATTTTCTTAAATAATCAATTAAAATTATAATTTTTATATCTCATATCAATCAAATCATTCACAATTTCTCATAAACTTTCCTTTCACTTTCCATTCATCCAAACAACTTTAATTTCATCTCCATTTTTCTACAAATCCCTCCTTTTTCACTCTCTTATTTCCACTCTCTCTAATCCCTCCAACCAAATCATAATACTTTATTAGAATGTGTGGTCTTTTCCTTGCAGTGAATAAAGCATAATACTTTATTAGAATGTGTGGTCTTTTCCTTGCAGTGAATAAAGCAGAAAATGATTCCATTGCATCGCACTCACCACTCTGCCATTTTCCTCTCTCCTTTTTCTCATGCCGGAGAACCACCATCACGTGCTTCTTCCCACTGCGGTGGACGCTCTCATAGACAGCATCTGCCACCACCAGAACCAACTTCCGCCGGATTCCAACCTCCGCCGGCGCCTCGCCGCCGTCGGCGAGGAGCAGGCACTTCACATTCTCCACTCCATCGCCGCACGCCCAATCCGAACCTCTCTCTCCGCCTTCATCGTGTACATGCTCAAAAACTCCATCACCGTTACGTCCTCCACGCCTCAAACCCTCTCTCCCACGCGCCCTCGTGAACCGTCGTTGGAGTTGCACGCGCTCGGAGAATTGGAGTTCCGAAAGGCCTTTCTGCTTCTGAGTTATATAGGAAGGTGATGTCTGCTTCTTGTTCGTAACTGCTTCCTTGCTGACTCAGCATAATAGAATCTTCATTTCCTCTGTTTCTCTGGTATAAAAAGTAGATCGTCATGTATGAAAAAAAAAATCGTGGATAATTTTCCCACCTCATATTTTATTTTACCTTTTTCTATTCAAATAAGAAAAAAAATATAATATATGTTTAGATAAATTTCTCATCAAACAATTATAAAAGAAAAGAAAACAAAGGGTGTGAGATAAATTTGTTCATAAATTAAAACGAGCTTATATATAAATTGATATATATTTTTCTGCATTTGCTTTTAAAGTTTAAGCATGAAATAGTCTTAGGCTATTTTATTTTCTACTTTTAGATATGTTTCTAAAAAAGTTTATTCAAGTTAAAAATCAATTTATGCAAGTATAATATTTGTTTTTAAATTTATGCAAGTATAATATTTGTTTTTAAATATTCTTGAAAACTTAGATGCATGGGTTTGATTTTAACTTGTTTGTAAATTTAGTTTTTTTTTTTTTTTTTTATTATTATTACATGTGTTTGTGGAATTTTTTTCTCTCCTTTTATCCAGATTTTTTTTCTTTTCGGTTGAGGTTAATACTTAAATTGCTTGATTAAGCTTTGTGTATAGAAGCCGATCAATTTAATTGAGATGCATTGAGTCGTTGAGGCGAAGTCTAAATTTTTGGGTTGTTCTGCTTAAATAAACCCGTGGTTTTCTTTCCTCGATTACAGAGAGAGTCTTGAGAATGTTACCAATGCTGATTATATTAGAAGCCTTAAAGACTTGCCAATGGCAAGGTTCGAGAAAACAATATGGGAGGCTTTTGGGAAAGATCACATCTACTGTCAAAGTGATCGGCAAGTGGTAAACATTGCGTTCCAATGACGGATTAACTAATTTGTATGGTGCAGTTCATTTTTTGAGTTTTCATCTTGTACATATATTCCCTATTACTTCATTTTGCTACAACTAAAACTCAACTACAAATTAAAAGGATAGTTTTATTTTTAGGAGTATGATGACTGGTAGTAATTCGTATAAAACTGCTTTACACTGTCACCCAATCAGAAACTAAAATTGATATGACTTTTAAGTAAAAACCAACAAACTTATCATATAGAGGAAAGTTAAATTAGAATAGAGGAAAGTTAAAGTGTTGAATTTTGTGCTAGCCCATCCCTTGAACGCCCATGGTCATGGAAAGACGAGGAGAAAATGTGGTTAAGGCGTGGTACAAACTTTCATAGCACACAATGCTGAATATTAATCAAGTGATGTTGGCTATCTTATCTGATTAGTTATTGTTTCCTTACTATATTAACTTTGGTTTCTTCAGTATCTTGATTGGGACTCTGGTAGAACACATGTATATCAATGTTATGTTTCTTCAGATGGGAGCTTAAGGTTCAAGGTTTGTATGTCACTCTCTCCTTCTGATTTGTGTACTGTTAAATAATTGACGCTGTGATTGTGACTATTTCACTGTACGATGGCTCCAATGCTATAATACTGAATAAAAAAACTGTTAAGATTGTTATATGTTCAGTATTATAGTTACTTTTAGCCTTTAAAGATTCGATTGTCTATTTTGTTGGGACTTTTGAAGGGGGATTCATACGGGAAAAACAACACTAATGAGTCATGAGCCTAACCCACATAAGGATTGATACCACTCTCGACCCAAAACCTTAAGACATTGAGTTACGAGTCTTTCTTCTTTATATGTTGCTCAACTTTCTCATTCTTACACAATGTGAGATTTAGACTCACTTGTATTTCCTAACATATTTCTATGTGAAATTGGTTTATTTTATGGCTCCTTTGTTTACACTATAATTCAGGGCCCCATATTACAGAGCATACAAACACACTTGCAGAGATCTCTTGGTGACGACAACATCTTGCTAGTCAAATTTGCTGAGCATGGGAGTGCAAGGAATTTAATGACCAGTGCTGAAGAAGCAAACAACCTCTATGGAATCTTTGGAAAAGAAGGGATCAATGTTGGTCTGCGTTTGTATCGGTTTTTTGGTAATTGTGCTACTTGTGTTAGTTTTACTTTGTTTTTATTGTCCTGCCTTTTCACAGTTTTTATGATCCTGAAACCAATGTACTTCTTTTATGTGATTAACATGTTGCTGATGTAAGTAGTTTGGGAAATTTGTATTTTTTATTTATTCTGTGCAACATATAATCCAGACTACAAGTGTACAACCTTTGATCTTCTTTTATATGTGTTTTCCTTCCTCATTTTACTCTCTGCTTATTCATATTTAATCTGCACTATATCCTGCATCAGATTTATGAAATTTCACTTGCTTGATAATATTTTGTTGGTTGTCTCAGTTTTGTAATCAGATTCTGTGGTATCTCACATGGGAGCAACATGTTTATTATTTTCTTCTGTAGACTTTCATTATCTCTTGTTTGAAATTATTGTTCTGTTAGATGCCTGTGTTATAATTTCATGTTTTTATATAAGAGTACTAGTACATTCTCCAGTTAATTTTTGTAACATGTTTAATATGCCAATATTGGGTTACCTTTCAGTCCTTGAAGAGTGCACATTAACATACAAATTCATTTCTTTGCTTCCGTCTTCTATTTGTTTATGTGGTCCTGTGTGCAGTAGTTAATAAATGTTAGCCAATTGTATGTGGATTTAGAATGTTGTTTATTGTATTTCTTTTTTATCAGTTCCTATATTTTGTTCTTATAGTATGTTTATCATTTGGTGTTTGTGCTGCCCTCATGTTCCTAGGCCAAATTTTAAATTTTGTGCAGTCATAGTCATGGTTGTGTTGTGGTATTGGGGGCTAATGCAGCAGATGGCACATTGAGATGACTGTGTCAGTTGACACGGATCAAGATTTGAAACTTTGCACAAAGGTTTTCTATCTTGGGTTTAGTGGGGTGCAAGCATCCGAGTATGAGACATGTAGTAGGTTAGCTGAGGCTATTGCATCACAGTCCTAAAGAATGAGAACAATAGTAGTTGAGCTTTAAGGTTTTGACTCAGTTGACTGCTGAAAGCATTCTTAATTCATCACCATTGTCATGTGTTTGATGCTATCTCTTCTATTTTCTACCTACTGAACAGTTTTTAAAGATGGTGGAAAAGAAGAGAAAAAGAAGGACCCAACAAGTTCCTCTGTAAAGTGTTATTTTGTTAGGATGCAATCATGTTCTGCAGATGAGAGTGCGAATTACATTTTGTCTAATAAGACAGTGTCTGAAGCAAGAACTTTATTCATGCATGCTCACATGTTGCCCAGTTTAGACAAGTATATGGCTAGGTACTATGCAAATAATGATATCATTTAGAGCTTTTATCTATTTTTCTGCATCCTCCTGCAGTCCTAATAAAAATAATTCATGAAATGTACTAACCTCATAGGCATTCAGGTTCTCTCTCATTCTGTCAAAGACCTTAAAACTCAACATTGACTTGGCAGCTGTGAATGTCCAAACAATACCAGATGTATATTGCCAGGTATAGTCAATATTAAGTTGGCTTTAGAGTTTTATAATTTATGGCAATGCTTCCAGAAAATTATTATTTTTTTTATTGTGTGTTTAGGATGAAAATGGCAATATTGTGTATGATAATGAAAAACCACGTATTCTCACGGATGGAACTGGGTTCATCTCTAGAGATTTGGCTTTGCTCTGCCCTAATAATGTGTACAAAGGAATGCACTTGGAGAGAAACTATATTCAGGTCTTTTTACTTTTGAATTTATTTTACTAGACTTTTCTTTTCACTTTGTCCTTTTAGCTATGATTGGTCAGAACTTGTGTTAAGAATCCATTTTATGAATAACTGTATTGTGAATCCGCACGGTTATTTTTATCATAATCAGTGCCTGTTGATTATTTATCTAGTTTTCTTGATTCATGCATGGTGAATACTAATGTTTTAGAGGTATAGAGCTTGACTTTTACATTTTTGCAGTTCATATGCTCTCAATTTATGCTGCCGTATTTTTCCTTGTGATTTGGTCATGAAACATAGTTTATTTGGTGAAAAATTACAGTAAAATTGCTAGAGAGCTCCTATTAATTAGTGATATAATCAAAATAGTGTATATAAGTGGGGGACAACCTTCACCAGATGAACTAGTTTCGATGGTTTAGGCCTGTTATTGGGTTGTAATAAGACTACCTACATATGTCTAAACACATAAATGTCTGTCTTTGGTGTGAGAGTGAGAAATATGTAATGGAAATCATAAATTGATTATTGATATGATTAAAATAGTGTGCATAAGTGGGTTGGGGGGGGGGGGGGGATTTTCACCCGCTGAGGTATAGAAGAGAAAAGTTTTGGTTGAATGCTCTTTATGTTGCTCTGTATTTGCATGTAATTGTACATAGTAAACTATTTATAAGAATAAAACATCTGAAATGAAATAAACAAATGAGGAGAAGTAGCGCAAGGATATGTTTATATTAGAAAAACCTTTTGGCTAACTATTTCTTTTTTTACACACTTTGTTTTTAAGATATATCTTTTTTCTTGATTGCCTGGACTCTCTGTTATTCTGCATATGTCTTTATTGCTGTTACATTTCTCTCGAAAAACTTAAATTTCAACTCATGCTCTAGTATATTTCAATGAGTTTTTTGATCTAGTCTTCTTTCCTTGATTATTCTATGCTTTGTGACTTCTTTAAAATTAGGAAATTAACAATCTTGTGGAACTTGAGGATATGAGTAAGGCAATTGGAGAAGCAGAGCTGAAGCTGAGCACACATCAACCAGTAGATTATTTGTTTTTCTTTTGCAATTTCGCATATTTTATGTGCAGATGTGCTGTGTGATTTGGATATAAATGATTTCAATATAACTTTCCTTTTCCTCCAATTTGCTATAGCCTTTGCTGATTCAATGTCGTCTCTTTCACATGGGTTGTGCAGTTAAGGGCACTCTTTTGGTTAACAGAAAGGTATATGATAAGAATACTCGAATAGAAAGTATGATTGTCTATATTCAATATTTTTGTGATCCCATATTAAAGACAATTCCCAAAATGAGAGAAAAGAATCTCTCTCTGCTCCCCTGAAAGTTCCCTCTCCCTCCTCCTTATTTATTATCTCTCTTCTAACGAAAAGAGACGACACTATGGGCCACCTCTCCAATTCGTTCTAGGATCTCATAAGGACCGCATGGGCTGAGCTTTTGGTTTACTCATTTAGCCAAATTCTTCAACTTATATGGTTGTATCTTCAAGTAGACCATATCTCCCACCTTATATTTCACCTCCCTTTTCATTTTGTTAGCTTGCTGCCTCATCTTGAGCTTGCACCAATTGATCCTTCAAAATTGCCAGCGTTTCATTTTGCTCCTAAAGCATCACAGCTACCTCTTCCATAGGGGTTGCAAGAACATCACCCCTAACTACTGTAGGAAGATCTCTTCCATATAAGGCCTTGAAGGAGATCATTTTGGTGGACTCGTGATAAGTGGTATTGTACCAAAATTCGGCCCAGTTGAGCCATTTAAACCACTGCTTAGGTCTTAACCTTGTCATGCACCTCAGGTACATTTCCAGACAACGGTTCACCACTTCGGTCTGCCCATCGGTTTGCGGATCATAGGTCGAACTGAACTTTAATTTGGTCCCTCTAATTTGAATAACTCAGTCCAGAAGGAACTGATGAAGACTCTATCTCGATCTGATACAATTGATTCCGGAAACCCATGTAGCTTTACCACTTCCTTCAAGAACAACTCAACAACTTCCTTGACTATATAAGTGTGTGTTGACGTTAGGAAGTGGACATATTTAGTGAAACGATCCACAATTAATAGGATCGTATCCTTTCCCCCAACTTTTGGGTAATCCTCTAATGAAATCCATGAAGATATCTGTCCTGATCTGTTTTGGGATACGTAGGGGTTGTAGTAGGTCTGTAGGGCTCATGGTTTGATACTTGTTTCGTTGACACATGTCACAGTTCTTCACGTAGTCTTGTATGGTCTTTCTCATTCCTTCCCAAAAGAAAAGGCCTACAATCATTTTATAAGTTCTGAAGAATCCAAAATGCCCTCCCACTGCTGAATCATGGAATTCCTTCAGAATTGATTGTATTTTAATGGACCCCTTTGGAATAACAAGTCTACTGTGATAGTACAACCTGCCTTGGTGCATGTTATACCCTGGATGCTCTCCATTATTCACTGTTAGGTCTTGGATTATTTGCTTCAACCTCCCATCCTTCTCAATTTCTGCCTCAAGATCTTCCCATTCTACAAATTGGATGGTATGAATGGTTGCATATTGCATTTTTCTAGAGAGTATATCAGCTACTCGATTTTCCTTTTCCGGTTTGTACTTAATTTCGAAGTCAAACCCAAGCAACTTGGAAATTCACTTATTTTGCTCCTCTCCCATCAATCTTTGATCCCTTAAGAACTTCAGACTTTTTTTATTCGTATGGATTATGAAATGCCTTCCAAGTAAGTAGTGTTGCCATTTCTATATAGCGATGATCATTGTCATTAATTTTTTTTCATAGACCGACTTGTTCAAATTTCTTGCAGAGAGGGTTTGGCTCATGTAAGCTACTAGTTGGCCTCCTTGCATTAAAACTGCCCCTAGTCCTTGGCCTGAAGCATTAGTTTCAATCACAAAATCCTTGAAAAATCTGGTACCGCAAGCACTGGCACTTGGGTCATTGCCTTCTTCAACTTTTCGAAAGCTTTTTGAGCTGATTCATCCCACTGAAACTTGTCTTTCTTCACCTGTTGGGTCAAGAGCCAAGCTATCTTCCCATACCCTTCAACAAATTTCCTATAATAGCCTGTAAGACTCAGAAAACCTCGCAATCCTCTCACATCTTTAGAAATTGGCCATTCCACCATAGCTTTGATTTTATCAAGATCCGTAGCTACTCCTTGGCCGGACACAATATGACCTAAATACTCAATATTCTTCCTTTCGAAAGAGCATTTCTTTTTGTTCACTACTAACTTGTGTGTCCTGAGCGCATCCAACACCATCCTCACATGCTCCTGATGACAACCTATACTCTTGCTAAAAATAAGAATGTCATAAAAAAAAACAAAGGTGAATTTTCTCAAATAGGGACGAAGGACTTGATTCATGAGAGCTTGGAATGTAGAGGATGCATTAGTAAGCCCAAAGGGTATTACTAAAAACTCATAGTGACCCTCATGAGTTCTGAAAGCTGTTTTGACTACATCTTCTTCTCTCATTCGAACCTAGTGATACTCAGGTTTCAAGTTCAGCTTTGAAAAAAATTGAGCTCCTCCCAGTTCATCTAACAACTCATCTATGATGGGTATAAGGAACTTGTATGGTATGGTGAGTTAATTTAAAGCCTGATAGTCAACACAAAACCTCCATCCTCCATCCTTTTTTCGTACTAAAATGACTGGGCTACTGTAAGGGCTATTACTGAGTTTGATAATCTTGGCAACTATTATTTCTTGCACAAACTTTTCAATCTCAGTCTTTTGATAATAGGGATACCTATATGACCTGATATTCGGAATGGTAGTCTTGTCTTTTAAGATGGCATGGTCACAATCCCTCCTTGGAGGTAAAATAGTGGGCTCTGTGAATATATCCTCATAAGCTGTAATTACATCCACCATGGCAAGGCTAATAAGGTCCTTTTCCTTAGCATCAGATAGCGCAGTGGCTTGACAGGACAACACATATCCTTCTCCTTGATGGGTAAGAGCCTTTATCATTGTCTTCCATGATGCTTGTGATTTGCTTAGGGAAGGATCACCTCTCATATTATTCTCCTCACCTTTCTCTCCCCAAGTAAGAATCAAGTGTTTAAAGTTCGCATTAACATTCCCCAAATTAGCCAACCAATCCATCCCTAACACCAAATCCGTCCCTCCTAACTCCATGATGAAGAAATGTTGAACAATAGGAACTCCTTGTACTTCAACTTCCAAATGCTTGCATATTCCGCGATTCCTCACTTTGTCGCCCGTTCCTACCTCCACCTCATAGGCCTTCATGTCATTCACTTTTAAGTTGAGTTCCTTAACTAATTCCTTGGAAATGAATTTAGCCGAAACACCACAATCTACCAAAATTATCACCTCCTTGCCCTGGACCATGCCCACCACCTTGAAAGATCTATTAGAAGTTAAGCCTTCTTTGCTTTGTAGAAAAATCTGCAGGACCTTGCTAGTGAGAGGCTCACCCTTATCCTTCTCTTCTTCACTCCCTTCCGATTCTTCACCTTATGATCTTTCAATCAATACAAATTGATAGTGTTTCAATTTGCAAACATGCTCTCGACCCCATGTTTCTCCACATTTAAAACAAAGCCCCTTCCTACTACTTTCTCTTAATTTCGCTTGGGACAGTTTCCCTCCACTTAAGGATTTCTTTTTTCCAAGGTCCGTTTCCTGTAGCTTATTACTCAGTCCTTCCTTATTTCCTCCTTTCTCCCACTTAGTGAAACCACGAGTACGCCTTCCCGTTGTCATTTCCATCCATTTTTTTGGAATTCATTAGCCTAGCTCTGCGCAGAGCATTATTCTTCTCTTCTAGTAGCAAAGTCCTATCCATCATCTCCTTAAGAGACCTCGTTGTAAATAACTTCAATTCAGCTTGAATCACTTCCTTCAAGCCGTTGAGGAAAATGCCTTTCAGCATTATTCTCTCCTCCTTCTTTAGCAGTGCACTTGCGTTCAAATTTTTTCCTACATTTCATCACGGAACTAGTCTGTTGAAGACTCAACAGTGAGTCAAAAGGGTTTTGGACCAGCCCTGGTTGAAAGCATCTAATCAACACACCTTTAAATTCCTCCCATCGGGGTTCTTGACTCTGCTCTGTCCACCATTGGTACCATCTTAAAGCCTTATCTTCCAAGACTATCACCACAACATCTAGTTTTTCGTCATCTTTCACCAGATTGAGTTTGAAGAATCGTTCAGCCCTCACTATCTAGCCGTAAACATCCTCTCCTCTAAATATTGTAATCTTAAGCTTTCACCCTCCGAAATCACGCGAAGACTCACGACTAATGGTTTGGGTCGTGTAGCTGGCGTCGTCCTCCATCTCCATTTCGCCATCAACAGTATTGTGCGACCCCTCCCTCCTGTGCGAACGGTGCCTGCGAGGTCGTCCCTTTCGGGACCTGTTGCGAGAAATGATGAACGTCTTCAACTTAGCCAGTTGTTGCTTTGCCCCTCCATGCGTTGTTCCATTGCGCTACGAGTCAATACTATGCACTCCCAGAACCAAGTGCTGTGATACCACTTAATAAGAATACTCGAAAGAATGAAATAGAAAGTATGATTGTCTATATTTAGGATTTCTGTGATCTCATATTAAAGACAACTCCCAAAATGAGAGAAAATAGTCTTTCTATTCCCCCCCTTCCTTATTTATTCTCTCTCTTCTAACGAAAAGATTCCCACACGATTTCCTCCCTCCCCGTCAACCATTATGTTATTATAGAATCAAGTATGTGCGCTTGTGGGCCCCCAAGTGATGGGTTTCCACTTCCTCCTCTCATAAACCTGGTGGATTTTCCTATTTTGCCCTTCCCCTCCTTTTCCTTCATTCGTAACAGTATATCATTTGAATTTTGTACATTTAGGTATTTCAATATTTTTGTCCTCAATGATTACGAGGAAGTTCTAGCTTAATGGTAAGATAGGGAAAAATATTTATGATGTTGTTTGTTAAATAACATTTTGGTGGACATGGAGGGCATTTTGTGAGAGATTTTGTTCAAGAGTATGATCCAACATTCAACACCATAGTCCATGTGGTCTTATCGATGTCCTGTATAATCTTCCCTTAAGTTTGAGAGTTTCCTTGATATCTGAAGCTATACCAACAACATTCATCCATTTTAAGAGTTAATAATTATGAACATTCACTGTTTTGTTAATAATTGTTTTCATCTTGGTTTAGAGTTGTGTATGTTTTATTTATATTCTTATTTGATTACAGTGCTTGTGATTTGATGTTATATTTTTCAATCTGGCAGCTTCCTCCTAGGACAATACAGGTTCGACCTTCAATGATTAAAACTGAGGCAGACCCCAGTCTGAATATGCAAAGCATTAATTCATTGGAGGTAGTAAATACAAGGTATTTCATTTATACATTTAAGTGGGGACAATAGATATTTTCACAATTCGGCCTTTGATGATTATAGTTGAGACAAACCCCAGTCTGCATATGCAAAGCATAAGTTATACATTTATGCAAAGTTAAGAGATATTTTCACAAAGATCTATTACATGAAAATCTATTTTCTTTTTTCATGTAAAACATGAAGAGTTCCGCCTCATGCTCCTCATCTCCAATTCTAGTCAACCTTATTACACAATTTTCTTGAAATGAATTCTTTTAATCCAATATCACATCAGGGTATAAGCGTATGTCTGTGTTGAGAATGGATACATATATTTATGTTTCAGTTGAAAATATCCTTTTAAGGCATATGATTTTGAAAGCTTAAACTGATAGGGTGTGTCCAATTAAAGAAGTTTGATGATATGGTACTTTCCACAAATGATATGCTATGCACTAGATCAATGTGCATGTTCAGTTGTTTTGATATCTTCATATTTGGGTTTCACCATGCAAGGTCCAATAGGTTGATTGGTCTGGTGCACAACCAACATGGTGCAGGTATACCCAGTCAACAAGAGGCTTTTAAGGATAAAATGGCTTGTAAAACACTTATATTGATGTCTTTTTATCATCTGGAGTAAAACTTGTTAGTCTCGTAATGCTTTATTTATTCTAACAATATATGTTAATAATGATGTTATGATTTTTATGCCTAAACAACTTGCCTATTGCGAGAAGATTTTTGGAGCTTGATCTAACCTTGTGTATTCGTGAGTAGGAAAATGTTTTCTGTGTTGTATGAAAGCTAGCTGATCTGAAGTCTACATGTTTCAGCATCAAGCCAAGTAGAACTAATTTATCTAAAAATCTGATTGCACTTCTGAGCTATGGAGGAGTGCCAAATGAGTTCTTCAAGGATTTACTTATGCATAATTTGGAAGATGCGGATCATGTTTTCTCCAATAAGCGTGCTGCACTCAAAGGTAGCTGGCTAATGTTTCGGTTGGTCATTTTTCATCAAATCTGTTCTTTAATAGATATAGATCTATTTGTTCTGCTGTCCAAAATATGAATGTTCTTCCCTTTGTTTGGTTAACTTGCAGCATCCATCAATCATGGCGAGATGGATGAATACAGTGCAGCAGGAATGATTTTATGTGGAATTCCTCTTGATGAGCCATTTTTGCAGTATCATCTGTCTATACTTGCGAGGGAGGAAAGAAAGAAGCTTAGAAGAGGGAGGCTTTATATGCCTGATTGTTTCTATTTAATGGGAACTGTAGATCCCACTGGATGCCTAGAAAAGAATCAAGTTTGTATAATACAGTAAGAATTAATCTTTTATTTTTCATAATATATTGATCTTTTATCCAACCAAAATAAATCTTAAATGTTAAACGTGTTTTATCTTCAAAATTTATTCAGAAAGGAGAATTTTGATAATACATATCTTCTACTAAGTTATTGAAAATGTGCATTTTCTTTCGTCTCCATTCCTAAATGGGGTGCATTGTTTGATGTTCGTTCTCTTGAATGAATTTGCACATTTATCTGCTTTTACATTGCTTGTCAAATAGATTCAGCAACAATATCCTTATCTCACATTCTCTTGGTTAGGTTGGCTCCATCGATCATGTGATGTCTTTTAACTTGGTTTAAAACTAAGTTATCATGGATTTTATTTACCGTGACTTCTCTTTCAATAATTTCTATTAATCTCCTTCTTGATCTCTTTACCCTTTTTCACATGACTAAGCATCCTGCAGTTTACTTTCTACATCGGTGTCTTCAATAGCCTTTCTTTACACATTTCCAAACTACTATAACCAATTTTCTGTTCAATAATGTCCTGACTGCTTCATTCCTCTTTTGTAGTGAGAATGACCAAATTACTGGGGATGTGTTGGTCTACAGAAATCCAGGTTTACATTTTGGTGATATTCACGTAATGCATGCCACATATGTGGAGAAAATAGAATCTTATGTTGGACATAGCAAGTATGCAATTTTTTTCCCATGTGTTGGAACTCGCTCTGTGGCTGATGAGATTGCTGGAGGCGATTTTGATGGTGATTTGTATTGGGTTTCCAAACATCCTCAGGTTCTAATTTTAATTTCAGTTTAGACACCTTCATTTTCTTAATATATCTTATGGCATTGAAGGAATTGTATTCCTTTCAGTGCTTCTGTTTTGTACTAAATTTTAATTGTCACATTTTATATTTTCCTTTCCCCCCTTAGTAAATTCAAACTACAAGAAGATTAAAAACATGGCACTGCAAGATTGTAGTTAGTTAAAGAGGGAAACCACAGAGTAGTTATTAATACAATTCTTAATTTTGAATTATATACCTTAATTTTGTTGTAATATTTTTAAAGTTGGACAGATAAGAAGTTAACAAATTTCCTTTTTGAGGATTATCTTTTGCTGCATCAAACCAGTTGGTTGTGATCAGTACTTTTCATATTGGCCGATGAATTCATCTGTCTCTTGATTGATTAATAGATTGGCCGGTGGATAAGTATTACTATGTTAAATGCTTATGATATATAAGAAACCCAACAAAATTCATGCATGTGTCATTGCATTGCTTTTTAGAAGCTGAAAATCATGAACATAAGAGGATCGGTTGGATGGAAGGTTATCAAATTTGAGAGTCTTACCATGTAGACTTGTGAGAGTTTTGCAAATTCAACTTGTTGACTCATAAGAGTTTACTTCATATAAAAGATAATTATATATATATTTTTTTAATTTATCCAAAATATTTAATCCATATAATTATTAATTTTTTTTTCATTTTTACTTCAACAAGTATATTGACATAAAAAAAATTAAATCAATCTTGATTATTGACATTTCATTATTTTAACAACTAATTCATAAAAATAACCATAAACAAAAAATTAAAAAACTTAATTTCTTAAAGGAAACAAGCTCAAACAGAATAAAAAAAAACTGAAATTTAAAACATATAAAAAATTAAAAAAAAGAAAGAAAACAAGAATAAAGACTGGAACCAGCGAAGAAGAGAGGGATACACGTCAAACTAACAAATCTAAAACGAGTCGCATCCCACATAAGAGGGAGACACGTTTTGCGTAGAGGAGCGAGATGAGTCACATGGTAGAGGGAGACGCTTTGCATGTGGTGGAGGGAGGTACATCATGCGCTTAGTAGTGAGACACGTCGCGCACGGAGGAGAGAAATGCCTCAAGTAGAGGAGAGACCCTTCGTGAGGAGAGAGAAGAATATAATGCTTGACAAGAAGAAGAAAAAACTTTTTCAACTCGTGACTCGATAATAAACTTGGGAGTCAGTTCAAGTTTGATCGAGTTTACTCCGAGTTTGCACGAGTTTTGTTAGAAAAGAGTCTACTCATGAGTTAATTCGTGAACATCACTCAACTCATAAACTTGTTCAAGTTAACGAGTTGACTTGCAAGTTTGATGACCCTGGTTGGATGAATCTGAATATAGAGTTAGATTGACATTAATTAATGGAAAGGGGTTAAAAAATGGTTGAAGTGAAGGTTAATTTGATATAGTAAGATATTGAGATAAGATGGCCCAGTAACTCCTCAAGTCATACAACAAAGGAAATGAGGCAGTATCATCATTTTGAGTAACTGAGATTTAGTTGTATCCAGCCAGTATCCTCAAAATTATAACCTGATTAATACTGAATATTCACTGATTATAAGAGAATTTAGATATGTACCAAAATGATAGGAGCCCTGATCATAAAAAACTGCAGATGAAAATAAGCCCCCATTTTCTGTCAGTTTCCCACGCTAGATACCTACCATCCCACTCTCTTATAACCAACTTACTTATTGGCTTTTCCTTTGCTTTAAAATTTCCTTTATATTGACCATTTATGTTTTTAAATGTTTCAGCTGTTACAACATTTCAGAAAGGGGGACCCTTGGATGGAAAATTCTACCCCTTGCAATTCTGTCGAGTTGGATTCTAGTGCTAAAAAGCCTAGTGCATTTTCGGCTGCGGAACTTGAGGATGAACTTTTTAGACTATTCCTCAAAGCTCGGTTCCAACCAAGGTGTGCATGACTATATGTACATAGTAATTAAGTATTAGTATCATGCTCTCCTAGTAATGTAATAGTTTTTTTTGTGCGGTTATAGTAGTAATCTGTATCATCGACAAATGGAATTTGAAATGGAATTTCGTTAGTGTTTTCACTTTGTATATTGCTACCAAGAGGAAAAAGAACTGTTATATGTAGTAAATATTTTTTCCATTTTTAATTTTATGATCTCGATACATGAGAACTTGTTCTCTTTCCAGTAATGCATCGGGTGTGGCAGCTGACAGCTGGATGGCACTCATGGATCGTCTTTTGACATTAAAAAATGAGTGCACTCAAGAGAATGAGAAGGAACATCTGAAAGAAAATATAGTTAAGTTGATCGATATATATTATGAGGCATTAGATGCTCCTAAGAAGGGTGGAAGAAAGGTTAGTTTTGTATCTTTTGGTTGCTTTGCTACAAACTCTACCTCTTTAGTGGGGACATACGAAACATATTCTTGTTGTGATAATTAGTTGGGCAACTATTCCCATATTGCCTGACATTATTATTTTTAGTAATGAAATCTATACGTAGCTGAACATTTAACTACTTGTATGCTTGAGTATACATGGGATAACAGGGGCCTTATCACTTTTTCCCCAGGAGGTATGAGGAAAATAAATGTCTGGTATGGACTTGTGCTAGGTTGACCTTAGGAGGTTCTCCATTTTGGTGCCAAGAAATTTTACAGATATCAGCATTTTGGTTGTAGATAATGTCAGCTAAGTGATTATATATGTTTAATGTTAATAAACTTGATGGAATTTGACCTATTAACCTAATCTTAAGTTACAAAATCTCCAAATATTTTTGACAGTGGACAGTACTTTGATTAATTGATTACATTTGCAATTACCGATGATTGATGACCTTATCTACATTAAAGAATTAGTCTCTGTCAATAGGCTGACGAAAACCTGTGGTAGCACAAAAAAAATTCTCCGTTTCCCTTTAATGATTGCTGAGATGGAATGGGTTTACTTTCTCAAATCCCTTATTGATGCTCTTTTGCTTTTTACCATTTAAGATGTTAATTTTGGGATTAAAAGAAGGCATTTTGATAGTTTTGGGTAATTGTTAGGGCGCATGAATTCAGTAAATCAGTTGAGTTTTCAAATTTGAATCCTGTTGTAAATTCTTTAACAGGTCCAAGTTCCAGATGATTTAAGAGCAGAGATGTTCCCACACTATATGGAAAAGGATAAATCATTCACTTCTACCTCTATCTTAGGTTTAATTTATGATTGGGTTGGCATATGGCAAACAAAAGACTTAGCCGGGGAAGGTGAAGACTGAAAATTAACTCATTATTATTTAATTATTTCTGCAATACTTTATTACCTGTGGTGGAGCTAGAGAGGAACAACTTTAATATTTCGGGTAAAAAAGTTAAATAACTAAAAAGATGTTATACTTTTTGTTGACTCACGTTTTTTAGCTTAATGTATGTTTACCATTTTACTTTCCTTGCTATCAGAAATTAGAATGCTCCCCTGTTTTGACGTTGAAGTACCTCCCAGCTGTATGGAAAAGTGGAAAAAAAAATATAAAGAATACAGGACGGATATGACAAATGCTTTGAAGGACAGTTCTAAATCCGAAGATGAGCCAGTTGAAGTCATTAGAAAATATAAGGAGGTATACTTTCAATTTCTTTTTTCCAGGCTTTTCTTTCATGCATTAATTCCCTTAGAATTTCACCTGGTGGTTAGTCCAATTGACACCAAACTTAGGTTCCTCATGTGGTTAAGGAGAAATTATTAGGTGGTCTTGCAACATCACCTGATCTATGTTTTCGATCCATCTTTATGTTATAAATAATTAAATATTATTAATTATTTAATTTGAAATTTGAAAATATAGTACCTTATGGTTAAGTGTTGGTGCAATACCACTTTATGTTCGAACTGTGTACGGAAAGAGGAGAAAACTCACATGTGAATGCTAATATACTGGTGCTCATTGGAATCTCTTCTGTAGGAATTGTATGGTGGTACCGCTAAGATGGAGGATAGTCCAAAGAATATTAGTGATATTTATGACGAGGCTTTGGCTATTTATCGTGTTTGTTATGAATATGCCATGCTAACAAAATCAGTCACTAAATGTGGCTTTGCATGGAAGGTTGCGGGTTCAGCTTTGACAAGCCTTTATATCATAAAACAAAATCACAAGGCTCTGAACTGTGCTCCATCTGTACTGCGGGAGATTTTCCGATCGTGAACCATGTCATTAACTGTTGTTTTGTATTATTTATAAACTCTTTTATATCTCATTGCTCTTTTCATTTCTTCATCCCATCACTTTATCTCTTTTTTCTTTCTTTTCTATCAGTTGACTAATGAAGTATATATCATCATATCAACAAATTGTATAATAATAGAAATAGTGAAGATAAATGAATATAAAGAAAATGGAACTAAGTATTAATTTTTATTAAATTAATTCTTTATTCATACCATATTTTGTATTTACTAGCCACAAAGCTAAAAATGATTTAAAATTCACATGAAATATTTATTGTGTTATTTGACGTTATCAATAGGATAATAATTAAGAAGACAATATCAAGAGTCAAGTAATACAAGAAATCTTATCTATGATAAATCATCGACTCTATGATCTGTTTGTATACTTATTTTCTAATTGTTCATCCTTTTTTATGTATTTTAAATTTAAATAAAATTGTATTTTTTTCAAGAATTTGTGAATTAATAATACAACCTTGTCTTACTTAGTCTTAAATTATTTATTATAAAATTAATGTATATTTAAACATTTTAAAAGTTACTTATTATAAATTTAATTATATAATATATTAACTATTCATCATATGCAATATAATTATAAAAGTAAATATTTAATTTGTGATGTTGATGATTTTATAAGATATTCTACCCTAATAGTTAGAAAAAAAATGGAATAAATAGTTTTTGGAATAAATAGTTTTTGGACTAATCTTCAGAAAACTTATTTGAGACTATTCTATCCAAAAATATATTTTAAATAAAAAATAAAATATACAAAATAAAGATAAGATTATTCATCTATATTATTTTTTATTTATAAAAAGTAATTATTATATAAAATAAATGAAAAATTAAATTATAATATATAAATTTATTTACCGACACAATAAAATCCTATATAGAATTTAAAATTTTTTCATTTACTCATAACTTTTATTACTCTTTAATATATATATATATATATATATATATATATATATATATATATATATATATATATATATATATCACAAATATAACGAAAAAGGGAATTCCTATGGAGTTGAAATTTTATAATCTAACTTATTTTTCATATTTTTATTTTTATCTAATAATCTATTTTTTATAAAATATCTTATTTCATTATTTAAGTAAAATAAATAATTACTTTTTTTAAATAAAATGCTAAAATTTTTTGAGTATCACGCATTTCTTTATATTGCTCTTTATAATATACATTTTAAAAAAATATATTTATTGAAACTAATTAATTTAGTGACTAAATAACTTTACAATATAAATTGTTTTTTTATTAAATTAAATATACATTTCTAAAAATTATATTTTTAATTGTAATATGTTTTATGTTTATCAATAATTATAAATTGTAATTATCCTGTTTGCTAAACACTACCAAGGGGCCTAAACCAACACCGCTTAAAATCTCTTTCAAAACTCTTGTCCAATCAATTCCCCAAAATCTTGGTCTTAGGGTTTTCCCTTTCTCTTTTCTCACCGAAAAATCAAATTAGGTCATTGTTTTCCGGTGATTGGTTTCAGAACCATGGCCACTCTGAAGGAGCTACTTCCTCCTGCCAAATCCTCATCCACCACCTACTATGACCACACGAACGATCCATGGTTCAAGCAGCGATTCTCCTCTGAGGAGGAGAAATCCGCCGCCGCCGCCGCCGCCACCAAGCAGAAACCCGTTCCACCTTACCTGAAGCGCGCTGGCTTCGTCCCCCGCAAAGTCGAGGACTTCGGTGATGGTGGCGCGTTCCCCGAGATCCACGTGGCGCAGTACCCTCTGGACATGGGAAGAGACAGGTCCTCGAAACCTGGATCCAAAATCCTTCCCGTCACGGTAGACGCTCAGGGCAACGTCGCCTACGACGCCATCGTTAGGCAGAACGAAAACGCGCGCAAAATAGTGTACACGCAGCAAAAGGAGCTCGTCCCCAAGATCCTAAAAAACGAGGAAGACTCCGATGATGACGACGTTGTTTCCGACGACGAAACGCAGAAGCAAATCGAAGAAACGATGCAGGAGACCAAAGCTGCGCTGGAGAAGATCGTGAACGTGAGACTCAGCGCCGCGCAACCGAAGAACGTTCCGAAGCAGAATTCCGACGCGAAGTATATAAAATACAAACCTTCGCAGCAATCCGCGGCGTTCAATTCGGGTGCTAAAGAACGAGTGATTAGGATGGTTGAGATGCCGGTGGATCCGCTTGAACCGCCGAAGTTTAAGCACAAGCGTGTTCCGAAGGCGTCGGGTTCTCCGCCGGTGCCTGTGATGCACTCGCCGCCGCGTCCGGTGACGGTGAAGGACCAGCAGGATTGGAAGATTCCGCCGTGTATTTCAAATTGGAAGAATCCGAAGGGTTACACTATTCCGCTTGATAAGAGGCTGGCTGCTGATGGGAGAGGCCTTCAAGAGGTTCAGATTAATGACAATTTTGCTAAGTTGTCGGAGGCGCTGTATGTGGCGGAGCAGAAGGCGAGGGAGGCGGTTGCGATGAGGTCGAAGGTGCAGAAGGAGATGATGTTGAAGGAGAAGGAGAGGAAGGAACAGGAGTTGAGGGCATTGGCGCAGAAGGCGCGGTCTGAGAGAATTGGTGGGGAAAGAATTGGGGTTGTGCCGGCCCCGCCTGCGACTTTGCCGGTGGATGAGGATGATATGAGAGTTGATTATGAGCATGAGAAGGAGAACCCGAGAGAGAGGGATAGGGATAGGGATAGGAGTTTTGTGAAGGAGAGTAGAGAGGAGAGGGAGGAGAGGATGCAGCGAGAGAAGATTCGTGAGGAGAGGAGGAAGGAGAGGGAGAGGGAAAGGAGGTTGGAAGCTAAGGATGCTGCTATGGGGAAGAGGAGCAAGATTACACGTGATAGGGATCGTGATATTAGTGAAAAAGTTGCTCTTGGTATGGCTTCTACTAAGGCCGGGACTGAGGTTATGTATGATGAGAGGTTGTTTAACCAAGATAAGGGGATTTCTTCTGGTTTTGCCACTGATGATCAGTACAATGTGTATGAGCATGGGTTGTTTACTGCACAGCCTACGCTCTCGACCTTGTACAGGCCGAAGAAGAATCTTGATGATGAGACTTATGGAGGTGCGGATGAGCAGTTGGAGAAGATTATGAAAACTGATAGGTTTAAGCCTGATAAAGGGTTTGCTGGGGCTTCTGAGAGAAGCGGTCCGAGAGATAGGCCGGTTGAGTTTGAGAATGAGGAGGCTGATCCGTTTGGTTTGGATCAGTTCTTGACAGAGGTGAAGAAGGGTAAGAAGGCCATGGAGAAAGTGGGTGGTGGAGGAACAATGAGAGCAAGCGCTGGATCTTCAATGCGGGATGGTTACGATGGAGGTTCTGGTAGGACTCGCATTGGATTTGAAAGAGGGCATTAGGTAGCATGATATTTAATGATGCCTGACCAGTTTACTATGCTTAGTGATGTTGAGTATCCATTCATACACCAGAGGTTATGTCTGCAAATGAATGGTCAGGACAATGTGCTTGTATTAGCATTACGGTTTATCTCCAATCTCCCTTTCCTCCCCCGTAGTTTAGGTGGGGAAAATAACTGTTTTTGTACCCTTTTTACGCTGTTGTTAAACTGCTTATGGATGTTATGACAATCTATCTTTCCAGTAAATTATATACTGTCTTTCCAGTAAGTTATATATTGAATGAAATATATCGATCAAAATAGATCCTTGTCTATTAGAGGTAGATATTTGCTTTGGACCTGTTCAACATCTCAAGTTCTAAAATCTTGTTTATTAGATACTTGTGTTAAATTGTTAATAATAGGTATTATTAGGTTGTTGTCATTTAAGTGTGTTAGTACATGAGTTACTTTGTGAGGTAGTGAATATGTTCAGCTTTTCTCCGCTCCCCTCGATCTTGGGCTACCTAGCAGTCCTTGAAGAGTTAATGTGACTAAGAAACGCATATCTTTGTTTCTTTCTTTTTTTCTCTGTTTTGGTGGTGCTATGCAACAGTTATAAATGATTGTTGTTGAATGTGTATTTAGAATGCTGTTCCGCGTGGTTCTGAATGTAGACTTATGATTTGGTGGTTGCTCCCTGCTTGCATAGACATGTTAACCCTTCCTTTTTCTTTGTTTCTTTTGAGAACTGAAGAGTACTTATTGAGGCTGATATTTTAGCAAACCAACATATTCACAGTAGAATTACCCCAAATTCTAAAAATAGTCAGACAGAATTGACAGTTTATAACTCACGCCCATTCTAGAAAGGCCAGGATTTTAAATTGCATTCTTGATCATGATTGCATTAAGGTATTGGAGCGTAGCCCATTCCAGCTGATGCGTTCCACAATGTGGGGGTTGGTGTTGCTGAAGCAACAACAGTTGAGATATGGCTGCATCAAGCTGGTATGTGAGCAAAACTTGGCAAAATACTTCTTGGTGTATGATGAAGGTGCAAGCATCATATCACACAATACAGCACAGCCTAACATTTGTTTTCATCATTTTACAGTTTCAGGAATTATATTCTCAGGAATATTATCTAAGAATATTATTCTTGTCTTCTATTGTATATGTGTTTGCCTACATCATGATTTTTCTAGCAATATTTTACGTTTAAAATAATTCAAATGAAAATAAGTACAAAGGAAATTTTCAAGTGTCTTAGAAAATAATTCTTCCCTATTTTCGAAGTTTAGTAAAACATGCCCATATCACAAGCTTACTAAACAAGAATATTTTGGATTGTACCTTTATTGCAAAATTGAAAAAAGGTGTAGGAGAAAGAAAGTGCTTATAAGTGTTGAACCAATTTATTTTTTTTCCTCTTGCTCTCACCCTCTCTGCCTCCTCCTACTCAAAATAGATTCTGCTGACCTCACTTGGTGAATAAGCAGTGGTTGTGTTAATTATTTCGAATCAAATTCAGGAAGTGTTGATGAGTTAATTAATATCTATTGTTCTGCTAATGCCTTGGTGGTTGTTACGTTTCCCTAAAATGTTTGAATAGTTTGTTTCCATATTTCATTCATTTCTTTCTTTAATTATGTTATCCTTTGTCACTGCCATCAGTTTTTGACATGTTTTACATTTCATTCCTTTCCTTCTTTTCCATATGTAATAATTCTATATCAAATCATTAAGATATAATATTTACATAAAGTCAGCATTAACTTATATTTTTATAATTTAATAAAGTTGACAAGTTCAAGTATCAATTTATTATCAAGTTATATTCAAGAGCATAATTATAAACATTTTACGGACTAAATTAGATTTTTTTCTTGATAAATTATCGTAAATTTACACTGCTGAAATGTCATTCATCCTTTTTAATCATTGATACATTGTAGATGTTCTCGAATTACTTTTCCAAACTGCATTACTTTGGTCCATGAATTTTTATTTATTACCGAAGTATATTTTTTCCATACTTTTTCAATTATTTCTTGAACAGCCATTTCTGGTCTTACTTTTATATAATATTTTATAAATATCAATAGGTATTAATATAGATATCTATAAATATTAAATTTTTAATTTAATAAATAAAATAATATCATCAAAATGGTGCACAACAGATACTTCTATCTTTCTGCAACTTCTAATTAAGCCAATTCCACGAGTTCTTTTGCACAGAATTACTGGTATTTTCTAAAGTAAAAAAAAGAAAAAAAGAAGAAGGCGTAGCCTTGCTTTAAAGTCAAAGCTAAGGTGATGGAACACCCTCCACAATTATTGTCTATCTTTCTTTCTATTCATTAAGATAAGGTCACTCACTGGTGGTGACTCAGATCAACAATTTTTCATGTTTTCATTTAATCAAATAAGTCCTCTGCTTCTTCTAAAAATGGTTAAATTATAACAATTTGACCCAAAAAATAGCATTATTTTGTTTGGACATACTGTAACAACTTGATAGAAAATAACTGTATTTTGGAAAGACATGGGAAGAAGATAATATTACAAAATAAAACATGTTATTCTATTATAATAAATCATTAAGTTCTTCTTCAGTAAATAGATTTTTTGTATATTAATGATCTATTAAAAATATAATAATAATTAAGTCCCTTGCTTCATATAATTGTCTTTTTATTTAACATTCTTGCTTTTTTTTAAAATTTTATATTCATCCAAATATCTTTGGGTTATCCTAAAAAAATTTTGTTTCAGAGTCAGGCCTTTTTTAACTTTATGTATCTCTAAAAATAATTATAAGTTTTATTTTGTTATAGAAAAATATTCTAATAACGATGTTTATTTTATTCTATTCCATATAATTATTCTATTTTTATTTAATTTAGGTCATCTAATTGCTTCGTTGCCATGACAATGATTGTTGGATTTCGTTATCCCTTATTACTTGAAAAATATTCGGATTATTTTTAGCAGACATGACTCCAACCATTTTTGTTTTGTCTTCTTTCTCTTTTTCTTCTCTTTCGTAGATATTTTCATCTTTCTCTCCTTTCACTGAAAAAGACGTCAACCCTTTACCCTTAGTAAGTGTTGAATTTTGAATGAAAATATTATACGTGGGTAAATGAGAAAAGATCCATTTTTTAAAAATCTCATTCTTTAGTGTGTGTGTGTGTGTGTGTTTAAGTGTTTTTAATTTACTGAAGTGTTCAATATCAGTTATAATCACTTCAACACTAGAAATATTTCCAATTATTTTTGCATCCAAAATACAAACTCTCTATTTCTATTATTCTAACTCTGTGTTTGGTTTCTTAGTGTGTTCATCATTGTTATGTTTTCATAGAACGTGTAAAATAACACAGAATGTGTTTTTCATTAAAACAATTCGTCGTGACACACACGTAGATATATATATATATATATATATATATATATATATATATATATATATATATATATATCAATCATGTTATATATTATATAAATCAAGACAATTTTTCCCCACATAGAACGTGACCAATGCATACTATTCAAAAGCACACTTCATCGCGAAGATGTTTTCGATTTTTCTTTTATTCTGCTATAACCACCTCTTTAATTTTAACTATGTCCACTTGTATCCAACAACCCAAAAGCATTATAAGGATTATTGCGTTCGTAATGCAATAAAGTAGAAATGGTGCTCTTATTTTACATGTTTCACTTTCAAAATAGAAAACGACACAACCACTTGTGTATTTTTCTTCCATTGACTTTGTTTGATGTATTGCAAGTCATCGTGGCAATACATAAAAGCAGTGCTTGTGGTGTTGTGGATCATTGGCATTGTTTTTGGCACTTCACAGCTCACAATCATATCACAGAGAGACAGTGGTGAGTGGAATGGAGAGCACACTCAAGGCCCTGAGAGATGGTGAGTCAGTGCTTGATCTGAGTCCAAGATCAACCGTGAGTGGTGGTGTAGAAGATGTCTACGGTGAGGATCATGCCACTGAGGACCAACTAGTCACCCCATGGAATTTCTCAGTTGCCAGGTCAATCTCTCTACTAGTTTGTTCAATCTATGTTTCTTACTTTGCTTACTTCCTCAGATGTTTTAGCTTCATGGCTTCAGTTAGATGTAGGCACTGCACTATACTATTAGATTGCTTGTAGAAGTGGTTAATGAGCAAAAGTTGAACTTGTTGACTTTAATAAAACTCTGTCCCTCCATCAAAACTTCCATACATAACATATAGGAAGTTAGATGAGTGAGTTTGTGTTGAAGTTAACAAAATAAGTTGATTCTAGCTTGTGAATGAAACTTTATTCATGTTATGTTCTTATTTTCTTCTTTTATAAGTATTTATGAGAAAAATTATTCACACAGGATGCGAGTATATAAGATATAGGAGGAATACTAGTGATTATTATATTTGATCATTTTCGTGTAAGCTGAAATTGTGATCTGAGTTTTTATATGTTTTTGTGCTGCAGTGGATACTCTTTGCTTAGAGATCCACAGTACAACAAGGGGCTTGCTTTCACTGAGAAAGAGAGAGAGGCACACTATTTGTGTGGACTATTACCTCCTACAATTACCTCCCAGCAACTTCAGGTTTGCTTGCATTCATTGATGGATGAACTGTGATTTTTATCTATTATATTTTTAGTTCGCTATTATATATAATCCCCTTTTGGCCCTCCCATCTTGTTTTGATCACTTCTTTCTACTACTGTGTGCAGGAGAAGCAGTTGATAAACAATATTCGACAGTATCAGGTGCCCTTACAAAAGTACATAGCTATGATGGAACTTCAGGCAGGTTTTTCTACTCATCATATATAGTTCCATTACACAGCACATCATATTTTGTGGTTAAGCGTGTCTTGTTCATGATGTTAACTACGGTCCCCTTTAACATTTGATGCATGAAGTGGTATATCATAGCAAATATTTTACAGTAATGCTCTTTCTATCATCCATGATCTCTTTTCTCCTCTTTGGATGCCTTGAAAAGTGAAAATAAAAATAAAGTATTTCTCTAGTTCTGAAAATTGAAAAGTGAAACATGTTTTGCTGGTACACAGGAGACGAATGAAAGGCTGTTTTACAAACTTCTAGTTGACAATGTTGAGGAACTGCTCCCAATTGTGTATACTCCTGTTGTTGGTGAGGCTTGCCAGAAATATGGGAGCATTTTCAAGCGTCCTCAGGGTCTTTTCATAAGTTTGAAAGAGAAGTATAAATTTCTTTATTCATGTGCCTGTATGAAATTTTGGGCTACATTTTAATGCAGGATCATTGAGTTGTTGATCTTTTTTAGGGGGAAGATCCTTGAGGTGTTGAAAAACTGGCCTGAGAGGAGTATTCAAGTTATTGTCGTAACAGATGGTGAACGAATTTTGGGACTTGGGGATCTGGGATGTCAGGTATTTGACTATGCATATTTTCCCAATGGAATCAAATTCCCTGATATGAAAAACTATTACCCACGTTATGAAGACATATAGATATGTGATGACAGTAGATGATTTACTCTTTACATAATGATGTTGTATGTGGTTTAGGGAATGGGAATTCCTGTTGGTAAATTGGCCTTGTACACAGCATTAGGAGGAGTTCGTCCATCAGCAGTAAGAACTTCACATATTTTCTTTTATTCTCATTATATGTCTCCTATCTCTTTTGGGAACATTTAAGATTATGAACTTCATTAAGTGAGTAAAGTAATCAAATTCTCTCTCGTGAGTTGTGTTGTGATGTTTTCTTGTTTTGTGGCTAGTGTTTGCCTATTACGATTGATGTGGGAACAAACAATGAGAAATTACTGAATGATGAGTTTTACATTGGACTTAGACAAAAGAGGGCAACTGGGAAGGTTGGTATAATTAACATAATAACGCATATGGCTTTCATCTGCTTCATTTCTTTAACTTGCATCGATCTTGATGCAATTTGGTTTCTGCTTTCTCATAGGAATATTCCGAACTCCTGCATGAGTTCATGACTGCTGTCAAGCAAAACTACGGAGAAAAAGTTCTTATACAGGTTTCAAATTTTTGTATGATTCTTAACATTTCTGAATCAATTCTTTAGTATCTGACTATATAAAATTGTTTTTCTGCAGTTCGAAGATTTTGCAAACCACAATGCTTTTGAGTTGCTCGCAAAATATGGTACAACTCATCTTGTTTTCAATGATGATATTCAGGTACTAGGTTGCATAAAGGATGACATCTTACATCATGAAGATTTCTATGTTCTAATTATTATTAATACATTGCTGTGTCAGGGGACTGCATCTGTCGTTCTTGCTGGAGTTGTGGCAGCCTTGAAGCTCATTGGTGGTACTCTGGCTGACCACACATTCTTGTTCCTTGGTGCTGGAGAGGTAATTTTACCCTTTTCTGCCTTAATATCTATGCATCTTTCCCTGATGCTGAAGCAAAGGAAAACAACCAGAGGAATAGAATACGTAGTATTTAGTTTTGAAAACTTTTAAATACCCCATTTCTTATTTGTATATTTCTTCTTGTTTGAGGCTTATGCACGCACAGTCGCTCGCATCACCTGTTGTCTGTAATTGACAAGTTAGTCTGTCTAATTAATTTATTTTCTGTCATGTTTTCAGGCAGGGACAGGAATAGCAGAACTTATAGCTCTTGAGATGTCAAAGCAGGTGAATAGCTATATAGTGTTTATACAATGGTCAAGTTTATTTCTTTAGTTAGTTTTAAAATCGAAATTGCTGATTTTCTTCAATGTATTTCTCTTATTTCTTGAGCAGACAAAGACACCTATAGAGGAGACTCGCAAGAAGATATGGCTTGTCGATTCGAAGGTAGTAAAAAAGCATAATAGGTTTCCATGAAAATACATTTTATTGCAATTTGTGTTATCTTTTGTTTTAATTGTTTATGTTTCTCCAAGACATTTCCTTTCTCTCTTTCAGGGTTTGATTGTTGGTTCAAGAAAGGCTTCACTTCAACATTTCAAGAAGCCTTGGGCTCATGAACATGAGCCTGTTGATAGTCTCTTAGAAGCCGTAAAGGTGTCAAAATATGTCTGTTTATTATTTGCAGTGGGTTGTATTTTGATTTGTCTCTGTCCTTAATCATTCTACATCTTCAGGTAATCAAGCCTACAGTTTTAATTGGATCATCAGGAGTGGGAAAAACATTTACAAAGGAAGTAATTGAAGCTGTGACTTCTATCAATAAAGTAAACTCATTTCTCTTCTAGCACCTGATAATTTGTGTGCTTCTGTAGATAGACAATCTTAGATAGAAACTGTATCTCTATCATGCCTTCCTTGCAGAAACCTCTTGTTATGGCTCTCTCCAATCCAACATCACAGTCTGAGTGTACAGCTGAAGAGGCTTACCAATGGAGTGAGGTAAAATAAGAGAACCACATTTGTTTCCTGAACTGGTTTGGAGAGTTCATTGATTTGTTGCAAACGATGCCTTATTTGCAATAGTAACTTCCATAACCTATCTTTGCTTGTCTTCAAAACATAGGGCCGTGCAATTTTTGCTAGTGGGAGTCCATTTGATCCTATAGAATACAAGGGCAAAGTGTACTATTCAGGCCAGGTTTGCAATCCTCTTCATATCTATGATCAGTTCTTCTATTTGGTTATTCAACACAGCATGAAATCTAAGTTTAAATCTTGCCTTGTCCATTCAGGCCAACAATGCTTACATTTTCCCTGGCTTTGGTTTGGGATTGGTAATCTCTGGAGCAATCCGAGTACACGATGATATGCTTCTGGCAGCTTGTAAGTGGACAACAAATTAATACATCCAACAGATATGATATTTTTGTTATTTCTATCCTCTTTGTTTCACTTTCAAGCTTCTTCTAGCAATTCTAAAATGTTAATAAAGTTTTGGATCTAGTAAAACTCACAAAGTAATTCTCAAGATGAATCTCATACAATATACAGCGGAAGCCTTGGCTAAACTAGTGACTGAGGAGAACTACGAAAAGGGCTTGATTTATCCACCATTCTCTGACATCAGAACAATTTCAGCTAACATAGCAGCAAGTGTTGCTGCCAAGGCATATGAGCTAGGTTTGTGCTCACTGTCACAACTCTCGTTCGTTCTAGCTTACCTATGTATCTCATTTGGCATGTTTGAAACTAACAATTGTGTTAAACTTTTTCTCAGGTTTGGCTACACGTCTCCCTCGTCCTCAGAATCTTGTGAAGTATGCAGAGAGTTGCATGTATACCCCTGTGTACCGAAAGTATAGGTGAATTATGGGGCAAATCACTGTTAAATTTGGCTGCAATAAACATATATGTCTAGGTGGCATATGTGAGTTGTTTTATGTAGCTTATGCAAAAGAAAGTGGTTTTATGATTTTTATTATGAAATCACCAAAACTACAGGTGAATTATGCTTTTATTATGGGGCAAATCACTGTCAGATTTGGCTGTAATAAACATAATGATTTGTATTATGAAATCTTAATTTCATCTCATGTCATGCAGTTGGCTAGCTCAATAAACGTTACCATTCAATAGTTTTCAACGACGAGTTCATGTAATTAACAGCAAATTATCTTGGGATAGATAAGATTTGAGTTGTTGTTCTGAATCATTCGAATTGCTATTTACAATCTAAGGGTATGTTTGGATTAAAGTGTATAAATTTAAAAATGAATTTCTTTTGGCAAAACAACCATGCTCCATTTGATTGTGCCAATAAACTCTGTTTGGTGACATTTTTATAGCAAGTTTTGTGAGAGGTTTTTGAAATTAATAAAAAGTTGTACTTCACATGTGTCTATTAAAGAAAAGTTATAGGTATGAAAAGAGGATTTTTAAGTGCAAAACTTTTTTTTTTTTTTTATGATGTTGACAAAGCTCTGGAGAGCACTTTATTTTCTAGTTGGGGCTAGGCCCAAACTAAACTTAGAATAATATGGAAGAAAGAAACACCAGCTAAATAAAATCTTAGGCTTTAGTTGGTAAAGGGAGAATTAGATAAGTAAAAAAAAAAAAAAGTGAAAGTAGACTAAAATTAAACGTGTTTAATTATAAATGTGAAAAAAAAAATAAAAAAATAAAAAAAGAGTGCTTAAGTAAACGATAGTTGAAATAATGAGTTTAATAATTTTGCATTAAATTCAATATAATCCAACCCAAACTTGCATACTTCATTAACAGGTGTGTGACAATCACACAAGATCTGGATGTTTCTGCATGTCTGACAAAGAACCAAATTGGCTTTTGGACCACACTTCAACATCCAAAAAAAAAAAACACTTTCTTCCACTCTTTGAATATTTCAACATCATTTCCAATTTTATCACAAATACACTTCACACCTTTCGTACAACCACTGCCACGTGAAATATTGAAGCTTAAAAAGAATAAACTTGCTTATTTTCATCTTCATATTATTCCAAACTTTAGGGCTGAATAAAAAGGAAAATACATCGGTTGTCCCCAAACCATATAGCTAAACCCCCCACTTCCCCAAGACAAAATCTAATTTGTCATTCCAACAAAATCTAGATTACATGTGTAACATATGATGCTGTTGTCCCTGAAACAATATGCAGTTCAAAATTTCTAGGCTGCTCAGCTCCAAAAGGCCAACTCCTTAAAATCAGCGTGAGTTTCTTGTTGTTCAGTTCCAAAGGTTGACTAATCAAGCTTGCTGTTTCTTGTAAACTTTCAAATCAGCATGAGTGTCAAGGTAGCGCTGAGTGAGGTAATCTCCGCATAAGATGGGAGGATATCTGGTAAAAGAGAAAATGCAAGGATGTTAAGGGCCACTACAAACAGCACACAATTTTAATATTGTGTTCGCTTTCTATTGATTTGTCTTTATAAGAAAATTTGGGTGAACAACTAGGAAATTTCATTCACATTGCTTTATATTATAAATTGCTGTTTTAGTACACCTAGTGACCAAACAAACAAGCCTCAGAATGGAAGGATGGAATCTGAATGTGATATTAACTTTCTGACATACACTGTGCTGTTAATTTTTAGACGACATGTTTAACTCACTTGGGGGGATTACTATCTGATTTGCAGGTAGGCAAGCATTCCACTAGGCAATCATGACTTGGCTCCAAGAAGTATGCAATCTGTAAAAGGAAAAAACGCAGGGATGAGCATGTTGCATGATTTTGCAAGTTAAAACTGATATGATATACAGAGATGCATGATCAAGAAAGAGACCATATTTTGAGGACATCGAATTTTGGAATATAATAACATAGTGCAGTTTCATGTTCATCGCTATCAATGAATAGAAAAAAGGGTAGATCAACTGTGTCGGCAAAATCAACGACAATCCTGGTGGCTGTAACCACTAACCAATAATTGTCCTTAAAATTGTGATTTCCATTCTTGGCAGAAGATAAAAGGGAACCACCACAAGATAAAGCTTGAAATATTATTTATACTGGACCAGATAAGTATTGAGTACATTCAATTTTCAATTAAAAAAATCAAATAAATGAATAAATAATGAAATCTTTAGGAAGGCTAAATATATTATGTATTTAACTATTTAATACCGGTTTTGCTATGAATTTAAATGTCAAAAGATAAATAGTAAAAAGAGTTGGGGCTTACAGAATATCTTTCTTGACCATTTCCGATAACTCTGTGCAGTGTGGACCTATAAATACAAAGTAATTTGTTGATTATAAAATTTAAATGAAAAAGATGCACTGTGAAGATACCCCAAAGGGCCAATCACATATTTTACCATTTAAAAGCTTGATGAGAATACATAAAAATATTAATCACAAATCACATGTACAAATACAATCTCTTCTTCTGCATCTTACAATTTTCATTCTAGCAGCTAAAGAAACGTAGATACCAATTTAGTACCTTTTAGCTTTCAGTTTAGCAGCTAAAGAACAGTAGTAGTAGCTCATCACACAAATTTATATCTGTTTTTTGAATTTCTCCAATCTCAGAAGTATGGGTACCTTCATTCAACATTAAAAATATTCAAAAGTTGGAAAGATTTCTTACTTAAAAACACAGTTGCTCCAACGCTCAAGCATGTCACCAAGATTCACTATGAAGGCTCTGCAACATAAATAGTCAGTCAAATAATGTAATAATTCAGGAGAAGGGCATGACAAAGGTAATAAAATTAAAACCAACTAACATACATACTTCTTGTCTTTGCAGCCAATTATGCCTAATACTTGACATAAATGCAACTCAAAAAGAATTAAAATTTTACAAATTTAGTAGTTGTGGGAGATCAGTGTAATTTTACAATGAATGAATTGTTTTATGCGTGCTGGTGATACTGTCAATCGAAAAGTATGACTTCTTACATGATCCCATCATATAGATTTGTAAGGATGACAATTACCAACCTGGCTACGAAACTAGCATAAACAAATCAGAAAAAAATAATCTTGAAAAAAGAAAAGCGTGTCTGAAGAAGTTTAGAAATTAGCTAATGAATTAAAAGGTAGGGATGAAGAAAGAAGAGTTTTCACTACTGCATTGCATGCAAATAGCAATAAAAGCTACAGTGACATAGGACTAACCCCTTCAATGGTGCCACATCCTCCCATATCTGAGGTTTAGCTTCCTTATTCTTGCATATCTACAACAGAAGACACTAATCTTCTTAATTAATTACACACAAATATTTGAAATATTGAAGAAAAAAATCAGTTGATTTCTTACTTGAAGGCCTGGGACATCATCTGTTGCCAACAGTGTTATTAAACCAAAGTCAGTATGAGCCCCAGCTCCATACAATCCTTTTGAGGGATCCGAGATTTGACCTTCATTGAACAAAGATGAATACAACTGTATAAGTCTTTTTTCTTTGTAAATGTATCAGACACAATGACCACATGGTACTGGTTTGCGATCTGTCACTTTCTACATTACTATTAGAAAACTTTTTAAAGAGGATCCAATATAATACCTTCATAATGCAGCAAACGTAGAGTTGCAATGGGCTCTCCAAGCATTTTTGGTTGGTCAAAAAACTTTTCATCCAAATCAAGTGCAAGGGCTATTATCTTTGCAACTGCTTTCCCCACTTCTCTGGATTTACCAGACAAAACAGGAAGAAACAAATTACTAAAGAAAACAAAAATGTGAAGCCCTTTTCTGTCATAATGCCAAATTTGATTCCAAATGAACAACCAAGCCAAGTAAACATGGTCTATTGTTTTCTTCATAGGAAGGGAGTAATAACATTGACAAGAAAATAAACAACATAAGACCTCAATTTCCTCCCACTAGGGAGAGGAAGAATAGGCAAGAAGAAACACAATGGAAAACTTTTGTTGAAATAAAAACCTTTGCTCCATATCAAGGTTTTAAAAAACAATCCATGATCATGATTTGAGCAAAACATAAATGTTCAGGACAGTAGAGTGACTGTGCACAGGTAGCATATGTCTGAATTTTCAAGAAATGTGCCAAAATCATGACCCAAAATCTTGCTTCATCTATTAAAGACCAAGATTTTTATAAAGTACGGTGAGTCAGAAACAAAATAACAGTTAGCTAGTTTCACATGCAGCAGAAATGATAAAAAAACACAATAGCTGACATTGCATCGAATAACAGAATAAATAAATAAACCATCACCAAAACGTACAATGTCTCTTGATGGAACTTTTCCATGGTCTTCCTCCACCCCGGCAAAACATCTACATGGTAAAAAGGCTCAAGAAAAGTTTAGAAGAAGAAAATAAAATCCAAAGAGTTGGAAGACTCGATTGGTAGAAAACAGACTTAGTCTCCAAAAGTCTCAAAGACCAAAAAATTGACTCGTTTACCTGGTGCGGGCCATTTATTCTGGCCAAAGAAAGGTTTCTTCGATTCTGGGTCATCTTCACCTTTTTCAACTCCAATATAATACCCCTCTTTATAGTCTCCTATTTAACCAAGCAGAGAACAGGTTATTAAGGTTTGAAAGACAAAAAACTTAGGCACAGTTATTTCAAAACTTCTACTGCTTTAGAATTAGAATTTATTGTAATAATTGGCATAGTAAAGGTTTACATCAAGTATCAACATAGAAAGCTTCAGTTTTGATTGAAAAGCAACACTATAAGCACGTAAGAAACTGACTTCAAGTTTCGTTCAGTTTGAACAAAACTATGATACAGTTCTTTCTGTACTTTTTCGTGTTGAGTTTTTAATTAGAATTGAAGTTTTTTTTCGGTAATTGACGTAATAAAAGTATGTATCAAAAATCAACATCAATATAGATTAGGAAGCAAAACTCCGATCGTGACCAGATAATAACACCGAAAGCAACTATCTAAGTTCTATTCGGTTGGGAATCAGGAAAAAGAAGAGTAAGAAAGCACGGTGAACTCTATGCAGCAAAATCTGAAATGAGTACACACATACCACGAACTTGGTTTTCAGGATCAAGTAGTTCATCAAGAAGAGGGGTATATCCCCTGTGCTTTTCATTCCTAAGAACCTTCATCTTTTCGTGGTGAGGAAGAGAGAAAAACTTCTTGCTCTGTGCAAAAACCTCTTCCATGAATTCCTGGCTTATGCCATGGTTGACAATGTAGAAGAAACCCGAATCCAAACACGCCTGAAACAAAACAACAACATAAGATCACCAGATGGTGGTAGGAAAAGAGAGTGATGAAACAGAGGGAAAATTCAAACCTGTTTGAGTAAACGAACGGATTGGTCGATGTCGGAGTTGTATAGGTTGATGCAGTTGATGGCAGACACTTGTGTGCTCTGTTTTCCCATGTTTGGAGAGCAAAGAAGGAGAGCCTCTAGATTCCTGAAACCACTTTGCCCTTTCCAACGACCACCAAACAAAACTCAACATTGTCTTCCCCTTATATATGCAATTTCTAGCAGCCATAACTTTTTTCAAACAAAATAAATTAAATTTATTTTCTCTTGTTTAGGACAGAAATTTCTTGGTTGTAAGTTATTATAATATTAAATATTTTCTTCTTCCTTTTCTTTCTTTCTTTCTTAAATTGGTATTTCATCCTTATCTACTAGATCATAAATATTTGGTACGTAAAGTTTGTGTACGTATCTAGTGAACGCGTGTATCAATAAATTAATAAATAAATATTTAATGAGTATCTCAAAATATTGAGGTATTCTCTATTTTATTAAATCTAAAAGTTACAAAAATCGAATGAATGAATTCATTTGATTAGGTATCAAATGACTAAAAAAAATAGATGCATTAATCGATAAAAACATATGATCAAGACAGAAGAATAATTATAATTAGTGTTGAATTTTTTTTAACAAAGACAAAATATAGATAAAACAAGAAATCAAATATTTGAAAAGTGAGATCATGAATATAAAAATTATACTAAAAGATCTTTTAAAGGTACATCAAAATATTGACGAAGATGATTAAAAAAGCGAATCAACAAGTTTCAAGTAAACATGTATCAACAAGATAAAATAATTACAAGAAGATACTTGTTTGAAGATTTTAATTTGTAATTTTTATTTTCTATTATTATTATTATTATTATTATGATTGTTTTAGCTGTTAAAAAAATAATATATATAAAATAAAATAAAGATAACAAAGATGATTGTCAAATTGTACAACTTATCTTCTGGAAAATGCTATAAATTGGAAATAAGTATTTTTAATGAAGTTCTTTGCAATTTGAATCCTAATTTTAATTGATTTTTTCTATTAATTTCTGTTTTATTCTTGTTAATGAATTACATTTATATCGTTATGCTATTTAATTTCTTGTACTTTTTTTTACAATAATTTACTTTTATAGTTCTTTATTATTTTTGTAAGTTATTTTAAATGTTTTATGTTATATTAAATATAAAAGTTGAATACAAATAATCTTTAATTAAATTTACTATATATTAAACTTTGAGTGAGCTTAAAAAAATCACATAGTGTTTAAATAATACAACGCATAAATTATATTAATTCTTATAATTATTTACCCTAAAAACACATATATATCTAACTTAATCAAATTTTACATTTTTGTACGAAAAACAGGCCACATTTTTTAAACCTTAAGTTGTGTAAAATAAAAAAATGGTGGCTTAGCATATTAATATAGATAAAACACTAAAAAATGATAATAAAAAATATATCAAATAGATGTCGATACTATAACTGCCGCTAATAATTCTATCAAAATAATAATAAATTTGATCCTAAAGGAATAATTAATCCCATGGTAACTCTCATTCCCAATCTTAATAAATAGTATCCCTAAAATCTAACAAAAATTATCCACAATTTTCAGAGTACGTGTACCTTTTATAAGAATTTTTTTTCTGAACGTAAAATTTTTAAATAAATTGTATCCAAATATTTAATATAATAACACACTCAACAAAAATATATAATGATCAAATACCATAATATAAATTAATTTCAAATATCAATATAAGTACATCTTTTCATGTTATATACAAAAATTTTGTTAAGACAACTACAATTATACTATGCACTTAAAGCAGAAATAGTTTAATAATATCTATCTCAAAATCTTCCGTAAGTACATGTATTCTTTTATTTTTGATATCAACTTCAAATATTTTATCCTTACATGTATTCTTTTATTTTTGATATCAACTTCAAATATTTTATCCTTACTTTATTAAAAGTTGTTTTTATCTTATGTTCTCATTATTATTTTCATTCTCGTCATAAATACAAAATTCTCGTAATAAATGCAACTGTATATACCATCACTCCTTCACTCGTTATTGGTCTAATTTTATTCCTAAATATTTGACTTATTTAGATATGACCTTACACCAAGCCCATTATCACTAGGATTCCTAGGAAATGTCTTTTCTTTTAAAACACAAATTATTCATCTTCTTCATCCTTACTCACTTTCCCACTTCACAAACAAATTTCTTAAAAACCCTCTTTGTTATTTTGTTTCCCTTACCATCGACATCACACTTGAACACTACCTTATATCTTAATTTTCAAATGGCTTCATCATCTGCAACTTCCCAAACTTTCGTTATCCAATCCATAAATGCTCAGTTTGTGGAACTAAATGGAAAAACTTTTGTACCTGTGTTTGGTGCATCAGAAGAATCCCAAAAAATTTGTTCCACCTAGGTATTAATTCCATATTCCATTGGTTGTATTTCACTTGCTTTTAGAGGATCATTGATCCAAAATTCCACACATCCTCAATATTTCCTTACATCCAACGATGATAACCCCATTCTTCAACAACAAGACTCTGAAAAATTTAGAGTAGACTTTCTTCCCTAAGCATCCAAAGTCTATCTCACCCTAGTGCACCCCAAAAGAAACTTTCCTACATTAAGTGGCTTGACAGAGTCAAAGCCAGTTTCAAAAATCATTGGAGAAAAATTGGTATGTATGACCTTCTTTACCTCTCCCGCTTCGACATAGGTTATTTTGATATGCCAATGTTTCTCTCGGCAGTCCAACTCTGGAACAAGAGCCCCAATGCCATAGAACTCCCATGTGGTCCTGTTTCCCCCACCCTACTTGATATATTTACAATAATGGGTCTCAAACTCGTTGGAGAGAAATACTATCTTAATGCTTTCATAACAGATAAAACCATCAAAGCAAAAAATTCGATGGAATAGGAAAGCATATGGCCATTTCCTACAAGAACATTTTATTAATGAACTTTCAGTTGAAGTTTCTGATGAAAAACATGTTGCCTTCCTTGTCTACTGGTTATGTACACATGTCTTTTTCCCCGTTCCATTCAAATATCCCCTCATTATTACAACTTGGCCTTCTTGCTTCATCGAGGAACTCCCACCATATGTTTGACCAAGTTATTACTTGCACATGTATATGCTGCCTTCGGCGAAGCATTTGATGCTCTTCAATCAAATCGACCTGGTGGTAACTTCTTAGGTCCATTATGGTTTATTCAGTTATGGTTAACAACAATCTATGAAACGATACTTCTTCACCCTTTAGTAACATCAACCCACATACCCTCTTGAAGGCGTTCAATTAGCCACTTGTCATTCTAAACATTACAAACCAAACCTCACCTCTCACAATTCCTATCTCAAATTTTTATTGCCACGTACAGACTTTGATCACACGCTTGCTCCATTTTCATAAATAGGCAATAACCCTCAAGATATGCTTGGACCACTATGGCTCAAATCCAAACCTCCAGCCACCACTCCTGGACTTCAAGCTGAACTTATCGAAGTTTGGAGTAATTTTCTGATTTGGGACATATTGGTTGCTGAATTTCAAATGAAAAACGTCCAATATTTTCCATATGTTCTTCAACATTTTTCTCACCGATTTGGATTCAGCCAAGTCCCACTTACCACAAGATTTCACCAACTCATTCCTAAAAGTGTTACTTATAACGATTCAACTTTCGAGAAATCTTCTCATAACTAATGCCAACAGAACCATCGAATATCATCATTTCCCCTTTGAAACCAACTTTTTAAGCACTTTCAAATTTTATTTCTAGTGGGATCAATGATTCTCCTCAAGACATATACCTTTTTCTCTTTTAAAATCTTGAATGACCATTCATCTAGACTTTCCTCCACAGGACAAAACAAAGACTCCCAAAAGTAAATATGAACACTAACTTCAAATTATTGTATTCAAGAATTATTATCAAGACTGTTATGATCCTCTTCGACTACAAACCACATTTAGAAATATAATGAATTCTTTAAGAAACAAGGTTTGACATAATAAAGAAAATAGAAAAACCATAAACCTGTTAGGTAAAATCCTTTTCGAGAGATTTTGCCCCATTAATTTACCAACTTTTCCTTATGCTTCTCTTGGTGTTGCCAAACCTTTAACACATCCAAAATGGGTTAATGAACTTAGATCTCCCCATGAATTACTACACCCAAAACCACATAATAAAGCCATTACTATATTCAAATTGTCCTATTATCCCTACCTCTATCTACCTTATCCAGCTTTACCCCGTTGGCTTACCCACATCGACCATGTTACTATTTTAAATAATATTCCCTATGGTGAGAAGTCTTCTTAATTTTTCGAATTTCTCATTCATATTATTTATTCCTTTCTTATGCTTATTTGTAATATTCTTATTGCAGTCTCTTCCTCATCCAAATTATCGAACCAGCACAAGAAACTTCCAAGCCCATTGCAACTCTGCATCTCCAAAAATCCAAAGAAAAAGGAAAACAAAAGGTCTTGCGCCTCTTCCAGTATGTTTTGACCTCTTCTTTTATTAAGCATATGCTCGATTCTTTATTTGCTCAATTTTACATCATCGATTTCTTTCTAGTTAATTCATATGTTATTCTAAAAAATATCCAAATCAAAGACAACATCCTTGACCTCTACTTCAATCTCATCTGTACAGGTAATACTCACCTCTTTATTAAACAAGTATAATCTTTGACTGCATTAACATTAAAAATTTCATATCATCATATCTTTGCACCACCTACCACCGAAACTCCTCTTATAACACCTACCATCATAGAATCAGACTCTGATGATGAGGACAACACCCCACTCACACGTCGAATCCAAAAGAAAATCCATGTTAAATTTCGTATAACTTCCATACAACCCTCAAACTCCTTTCTTATACATAATATGAGACTTACCATTATTATCTTGATTTCTACAGAAAGAGACTTCAACCAATATTTCAAGCAATCTAGAGTATGTAGTTGAAGTCTCCATCGATCCACCACGTTTCATTTCTCCAAATACGGTACAATATTTGTTGTCTCTTTCAATCAATTTT